AAGAAATTTTTGTGTGATGAACTGATTTTTGCATTCTTTTGCAGTGGTTGCATGTTATGGCAAAATTGTCTTGCAAATCCTTTCTGTAAGAGTTAAGATACTAAGCAGTACAAATTTGGTAGCATCAAGGCATGCACTGCCGGTTGTTGGCGTCACTCAAAAACACCTTTCCTAAAGCTCTCTGTTATTACATGTATATTGAGTACTGTAGGTCTGCAAATTAGTTTTTTTTTTTAGAAAGGACATATTTCCCACTATTTTAGCTTGATAAACCAGAGCAATTGTCAATCATACAACATGGTGACATTTAAATTTTTTTATTCAGTACTAGGCAAATTTTTCAGCTCCAAATTTTTTGCTTTTGGTATTTGATCAACCCAGTTATCTTGTCTGACAGGTAAGACATTGTCAGACATGGGCAAAATATAGTCATACATTTGAATAGCATAGAGAAAAAAATTAAAAAGTAAAGAAGATAAAATCTCTAAATAAATATTTAAATTTAATTTAACTAAAGAAATAAAATATTTAGAAATTAAGAGAGAGAAAAATGTGGAAAGATGGTATCAGAAAATGGTAAATTTTTTTCTTTTTTTTAGATTTGTTATGAGCTAATGAGCTAGCGATTAAATAACAATACCAAGCCCGCATTAAACATACTTTAAGTAGTAGGAAATTTTCCATAATTATTTGGTTAGATAAATTAATGCAAACAACTACTTGTGATCAGTATCAAATGCCTGCTTCTATTCTGAGTATTTTTTGTGCCAGATGTTGAAGTGTGGGTAACCTGTGACATGTATTCACCCTCCCTTTACACTTTGGTTTAAATTAATGATGATTGACAGTTTCCATAGTGAGGTTAATAGCTTATTAATTTTAATCACAGTTGTAATCATTAATTTATTCATCATTATAATGTTTTTAGGAGCTGGCTCTCCTGTTTGAGGAGCTAGATGAAGATGGTGATGGTAAAGTGAGCTTCGAGGAGTTCCTTCATGGCTTATTTGTGGCCAAAGACATTCAGCAGTCTGATGTGGAACCAGAGTGGGAACAGCATCATTCAACCCCCTATAACCACGCCCCTCCACCCACTTCACCAAACTACACTTCGAAAGTAAGAGCCTTGATAAATGAACTTTCAGTAACTGGGGAACTTTAAAATGAAAGCGCTTCAAATGTATTTGCTTAAAGTTCTATTTATTTACATATTTATTTGTCCTTATACATAATTACAAAGTTAGATATTCTCTACTCGCATATAACCGAGCTAATCAAGGCGAGCAGAGCAAAAAAATAAAAAAAAAAAGCTACATTTACTAGGCACCATATATTGAAAGTAATTTTCGAACTCTTTCGTCACAGGGTCAGAGAAGATCAGTCGTCCATGACGATTCTTCATTTTTTCTGTCAACAAGAACTGCTGGTAGTAGTTCAGCGTTCGGTAAGACAAATCATTTAGAGTAATAAACTTATTCTTTCGCAAGTGGCTTAACTGCATACATCTAGGGCAGGTTACTTAAACTTAGTTAGTAGAGGTGACTGGTTATGAAAGCAAAGATCAAGAAAACAGTGCTGGGGATTATCTTGGAAGCTACCTGACAGACTCAATCCTTTGCTTTTTGTTCGCTACCGTGACGTTGTTATTAGTTAATAAGAACAAAATGACAGCGTGCAAAGAAACTGGTGTCTGCTATTCCGGGGTAGTGGATTTTGCTATTGGGCTGTCAAATTGTGTTCTTAACTTGCCCAATGGGCAAGTAAAGTTCTTGGAAGAATTCAAATTACAGAAGAACTGTACACCAAAATCTTTTTGCGGGCTAGTTGGAATGACTTCTCGGCTAGTATAATGCTAGCTACAGCTTGCCAAATGGGAAGCTGTAAAACTGACTTTCTTTGCACCCTGAAATGATAGGAATGCTATTAAACTTTGTGCATAGTAAAGACCCAAAAACGCATAACAAAAGAGTCTGACGAACCTCGTAACCATTCCACTCTATTAACTATGATTTAAATGAATTCTAACATATAGAGTGTGGCTTTACCATGAAGTTTGTTTACAAGTTTAGTGGGCTATTTTAAAGTCCTGGTCTCAGTAAAACACTGTTTTGACTGCTTTGGTCTTCCAGGTTGAAAATAACGTAGAATGTTTGACAAGATCACTGTTGCAAAGTAGTACTTTTTACGGGTCATTACAAGAAAATACCACTCGCTCAGAAGCCAATCAGAGCGCGCGTACTATCCTTGTCATATTTATAATAAACGTGCATAACTATACTGTTCTTAAGTGAAAATTAAAGCTTTGAAAGGTAATCAGGATTTATTCTAGGAATTGGCCAATTTGTAAACTTGTCAGTAGAGTATCTGGACATTATTGTACCATTTGGTTTGAAATTAATTTTTTTTCTTGGCCTACTTGCTTTTTGCATTGTCGTAACGGCCGTTTTCACAAGTGGGAAAAGGCGATCACACTTCATTCTTGATTTGCTGCATTTACGCGGCATTATTTTTCAAATCGCAGAATGCCGCAATGCCGTGTTCTAGAGTCAACCTTGCGTAATAGGAAGCTTTCAATCTACATCATTTTTCTTAAATGTCATCTGTGATCCACGAGTCGGTCCACTGGACTAATTTGTTATTAAAGGGATTTGGAGTGACGTCTACAGCAAACGACAACGTGAATTTGTACCACGTGACTAAGTCTTCTTTGTTGACTGTAATAATTGTTTGGTGCAGTTTTTATCTGCTTATTTTCTATTTTGAGAAATTCTGAACTTGATTCTGGCGTCTGGCGTTTGCCTTTAGCATGACTCTAAATCTCTCTATTATCTCCAACATTACCTTATTCTAACATCACTTTACTTTATTTTTTGCAGATCTTATGAGTCTATTAGATACCGAAAATACCGGGTGAGTGCAAACCTGAAGCCCTACTCAAACGGCCTTGACAAACGATGATTCAGGTTTTGGGCCGAAAACTACCAATTCTTAAAGAATTAATGAATATTATTATTTCGACTGTCTAGTACATATATACTAGTCTCATCTTTTTCTTCTTTTCTCGGTAAGGTTTGCTAAAAAGGAAGACATCAAAGATTTCTGGCTGGCCCAGGGTTTAAACGAAGCTATTCCACTTCTAGAGGCAAGTTATCATTTGTTTGGTATTTACGACAGCATAATATACATCTGCTTAATTATTTTGAGAGAGACCCACGTGTATTCTGAACACTTAACTTTTCTCCATCTTCCTTATACTATTAACAGAGGAACCTCAGCCAAATCAGCACAATAAATAGAGCGTTTTCACTCATGTGGCCAGCATCTATGCTAATTTATTGGAACAAAAAATAGTATTTGCATAAGAAAAGAGATCAACTCCCAGAGGATTTTCTTGTACACCAACATGGCCGCCCTTTCATACGCCACTTCCACATTTCCCATAGTGCACCTTATTTACCCCCCAAAATTTTGCATACGCATTGTTTTTATAATACCAAGGAGAAATGAAAAACACAGGTTTTGCCAAAATTTTTTGTTTTTTTTTTGTTGGGGGGGGGGGGGGGGGGAAAAAAAGGTGCATTATGGGAAATGTGGAAGTGGCGCATTGTTTTGGAACACAGGTATGGGCGCCGTGACGTTATGTGAAAACGGTCTACACTAGTGATGATAATTTTGGCATTGTTTTAATTCTCCACGTACCAGAAAAGCACATAATTACGTATATTAAACGAGTATATTAGTGAAGAGGAGATGTTAAAGTGGCTAGAAAGAAGCAGTGATGATCAATTGGCTTATTTCCCTTTACTTAACAGATCCAAGCGAATTCTCCCTACATTGTTGAAAACGGAAATAGCAAAGTGACTGCTAACCAAATTATATTATTTCAACTTAAGTAATATATTTTTCTTGTTTTATTCGCAGCATCTGGAAGTAGACGTGGAAGGTAAATTAAGTCTTCATCAGCTTACCAACTTATTGGAGTCTGTCATTGAAGAGCAGAATAGCGGCGTGCCAAAAGCTGTTGTAAACATTTACAAGCATGACGTCGTGCATTTAAGGTAAGTGTACTTAATGCCACTTAAGACTTCCTAGGCTGTATAAGTGCTTACAAAAGCATGTTAAATGTCAGTGTATTTAGTGCGAAGTACGGAACTAAATGACCGGGCTGTTTCAAGTACCTCATTCCGGTGCCATCTTGGTTCAATGCACGAAGAGGGCAGGCGTCGGGTTTTATAGCCCACCCCCGCCCCGGCCCCCGCCCCAGGGTAGATTTGATGTTCTTTCCCAAGTTGCACTCGGTGCTTTTTGAAATCAAGATGGCCGCTTACAGTAAGCGCTCGATCTCGACGATCTTATGTATAAATGGGAAACTGCTAATAGTCTAATGCGGTCGTATCCTGCGAATTCAGCTTACTCATCCTCGCTCCCCCCCGCATGGGACGTTTGGCAGTCGGCGAGGTGTGAGTAGAGGCAGCTGTATTCACAGGCTAACGAGGCCAAGGATCCGGCAAACCCTAAACCTCCTTTTCTGCAGATCAACTCTCTTCCAATTGGGCTTATCAAGTAGTCACAAAAACACGAAATTACTTTAATGTGTCGTGAAACCTTATCTGGTGCTTCGTTTTGTTTCGTTTCTTTGTGCTGATGAATATTTTTCGGTTCGTTTACTGCGTTATAGGCGTCATTTGAATGGTCACACTGATGGTTTACTGACTCAGATGTGTAGCGGGATTTAAGCAGAACCACTGCTAACAGTCTTTTCACACCGCGCTCTCTGGGGTCGAAGGCGAAAGTGATGCCCTTGCGTTTTTCCCTTTTTTTTAGGACAAGGTGCAAAACTCTTGGAAATTGTATTGTTATAAACTGATGCAGACAGAATTTTACTTCATGGGAGATGAAGATTAAGTCTTGGTGAAACTTTGAAATAAACGTATGACTCAAAACAGGTCCTGCGCCTAGCAAATAAACTTGGAATGTTTTGAATACAGTCGCGCTCAAAAGATAAAATTAAAGTTCGCTTGAAAATGTTGCAAACAGCAGTTCACTTTAGGGCAGCTTCATAGTCAGCTATCATTCTTTGTGATATCAGCTCGTGATGTAACTCAAACAACAGTACATACCTCTTCTTTACTTATCCCTCACTCTCGGATGAAGGCTGCAACTACCTTAACTTACAACTCTCCCTATGACATGAAAGGAAGAATAAAAATATTCTCGGGGTTCATATGTCCTGCTTTTTCTACCGCTTCTTCTTTCTACATTCTTTTTGCCTTTTCTATGGTTTTGCAGGCTATTAGCAGCTGCTTTAAGGCGAAAATATGTTGGCATTTCATTTCGGGGCGTAGCGTTATGTCATTTTTATTTTCGCACGTGCTTTTGTTGTTTACATGTGGCACCCACACGGGCGCGACACCCTGTCAATTTCCAACGCGTTGATTGGTTGAATTTCACGTTGACGCCTCTTTTTTGGCGGGGTTTTCAAGGGCAGAGTGTTAAGGAATTAAGTGATCTCAACATGGAACACTGTCCACCCCTTTGCATTGTGACTATGAGCGTTAAGATTGTGCGCATTATTTCAGTTTAGTTTCCTCCGCCACGAGGTACACATTCGTCGTTATAGCTTCCATTGGCGATGTGTGGTCCGTAGGTGTAGATAAATTCGCTCATCCAAATGGCTACGTCGCCAAGACAAATCGAAGGTAAAGAATCGGTCCTGAGGTATGACTGCGATTCGGAATCGTTTGTTGGGGAAAAAGACGCGAACAAGCTACTGTCCGATTTCATGACACGCCGTTCAAGGTAGCTATATTGAGTTCTGGTTTACTAATTCTGCATTTCTTGACAACTCGCGTATGTACTTCTAAATACACCACTGATTTTCCAAAGAATCAATTTATCTTGCTTCAGAATCGGTTGCTTTGTCTAATGTATTGAAATTCAATCCTGAGTAGCTTTTTCTGTTTTCTTTGTTATACTCGTTAATTATTAACAGACACCACGCGGTATTGTTTACTCCTCGAAAGTTGCACTCTTTGTCAGTGTGCTTTCAATTTATTTAGATTTTTACAAATAGAAGAATAAAAAATGGCTTTTCATGTGTAGGATTTAATTGCAAAATGAGGGTTATCGCTTCTCTTTTTATCCACACACCCAGCAGTTAGAACCACCTTTTACAACATGGAGAACAATACCACAAGTAAATGCTGCTAAATAAGCTTTCGTTTGAATTGCCATATTTTGACGATTTCAGCCAAAATTTGTAAAGCCAAATATATACACATGTAACCCTTTCTCAAACGCAGCCGGTAAAGGGAACTCGTGGAATTTATGGTGCAAAAAATTTCACCTGAATGGCCACTCTAGGATTTCTTGCACCAGCTAAAAGGAAGAATTCCGTGTATACCCATTTACGATTGCAGTAGGTAACCGCTAAGTGGTTTCATTTTGATGGTGAATTGCTTGTGCTTTGTAGGTTGTTTAAAAAAATAGGACCACTTCTCACACCTGTCAAGTCAATTTGAGAAACCAATTTAATAATCATCATTTAAATACATTTCAAAGTAATGTATTTCTCTGTATGAGGGCAACTGAATGGTCTTTTCTTTAGAAGCTTACACCCTAACCGTTCCTTTTGTCTTCCAGGTCGCAAGTGGAAACAGTTTCCGCAGAGCGGGATGCCCTCAAAGAAAATATGGCTAAATTAACAGAAGAAAAACAAATGCTTATAGTAGAAAGCGAGGATACGGCACAGAAATTAGAAAAACAACACGAGACAAAACTGAGGTATGACTGAGAGCAAATTGGCTTTCGTTTCCTTGCCCTACGTTCTTGCATTATGCTACTGGTTTTGGTTTTTCTTTTTCGACATTACATTTTTGTACATATGAGGAGACTTGAAATACTCTCTTGACAAACGTTTGATCGATTCCACCCTTTTTGTTATGCAAATTCACTGCGGTAAGAAGTGAAAAACGCTAGAATATAAATTTTTCTGGCCGGTTTACGGAAATTTTGATAATTGTTGATAATTGTTGGGAGTATTTGAAGTGTTTTTATTCGGGAACAACTTTCAAAGAACCGCTTAATGGTTCAGTGGCTCTCGATTGAGACAATGACCTGCTTGTTTGTCAGTTCAAAAATTCAGGTTGTTCACTTGTCATCACAAACTTTCTGGTAGTACCTGTTAGTAGAGTAACACTTGTATTGTCTTCGGTAACGTCGGCGGCAAATATAGGGAGGATTAATGTTCTCTAGTTTTAAACAAAAGGAGAATCTTCTCCGTTTACTTGAACACACAAAACTGAATTTGCTGGTAATCAGTCCTTAACACACTAGCAAGCTACAGATGTATCTGGTTGAAAGTTGTTTTACTATTGGCTGATTCTGCGAGCGGGCAAGATAATAGCGAATCCAATATTCTGATCGGCTGCCCAAGTGGGCAAGGTGAGGGTTAGATACCTTGCCCCCGCGGGATATCCCGCTTTGGGTCGCGCAAGAATACAGTTCTCTTGGCAATTTAATTAATAGTTTACTGACTTAACTTGTTCGGTCAAGAGGGCTTGGTATTGGCCTAGTTCTTTTTTGGGGGTTTTATCGATCTCGACGAACTTTGCCAATATCAAACCATCTTGACCTTATATGCTTGGTCAATAACGCCTATATAGAGCATCGCCTCAAATAACAGAACGATCAGGGAATAAAATTATAGTTACTTAAATTGTAGTTACTTCAGTTAGGTAACGTAGAATGAATTCAATGAACTATTTCCACGAACTGTCTTTGATAATAAGTTAGAACTGCAAAGAGATGAAACAGTGGCTGGAACCCTTCACCCGTTTCTCCAAATTTTGGAATAAATGTCGGGTCCGATTGTTGCAGATGGATCAGTTTTGTTTTATCTTAAGACTCGCATAGGTGACAAAAAAAGTTGACAGGATTTTCATGCGGCAAAAACAGAATCATTGAATTGTGCAAACCGAATCCCAATTTTATGGATTTAGGTCCTTGTGTGATTGGTCGGAAGTTGTCAGACATTTACGCTAACTTTCGTACAGTACTGGGTGGNGTTGCAGATGGATCAGTTTTGTTTTATCTTAAGACTCGCATAGGTGACAAAAAAAGTTGACAGGATTTTCATGCGGCAAAAACAGAATCATTGAATTGTGCAAACCGAATCCCAATTTTATGGATTTAGGTCCTTGTGTGATTGGTCGGAAGTTGTCAGACATTTACGCTAACTTTCGTACAGTACTGGGTGGGATACTTGTCCATCGCGAGTTTCCCCGCCCCCCCCCCCCCCTGGAGTCAGACGGTTTCGTGTTTGTAACCGCCACGCTGTCTTTCCTCACGCTGAAAGAAGTAGTGATACGTCTAGCCGATTCGCGTTAACAGATCCTGCTTTGCATGCCCTGTGGCATGCGAACTTTTTAACTGACCCATTCCACTCAGATTAGGGTAGGCTGGCTGATACAGTTCTATAGTCAGACCGCAGTCACTTTGTATTATCAGGTCACTTGCCAAAACTGAAAACGTGATATCGTACATAGCTTCTTCAGCAAACCAACAGGGTTCCAACTATTATGGACGCAACTTAGATGGTTTGTCTTTGTTTCCACAGGGATCAGGAATCGATGTACACGGAAAAAATGCAGAACTTGCATCAAACACTGACCGAGGAGCGGGACAAAGTTTTACACAATGCCAACCAACAGAGATCCGTGTTGGAAGAATCACTCCACAGCACTAAAACAGAGGAACAGCGGCTCAGAACCAAGCTAGCTGAGGCCGAGGAGGTGGGCATTTTATCTCTTTTGTGGTTGGTGGTTTAGTATGCTAATATTTGTGACTTTTCCGGCTGCAAGTGCCAGAGTTCATCAGTTTTTTTTTCTCGTGTAAATAAGGTTGTTGGCTTTTGCGACAAGACCTCAAGTTAGCAGGGTTAAAGGTATTAGGGACCTTTAGACTGGGCTACGAGTACAAACCAAATTCTTCATAATTTTTTTTTTATCACACTTATCTTATCCGTTACGTTTATTTATTGCTGGTTAGTAACAGGAAATAGTTCTAGTTTGTTGGTTACAATAAGCCCGTACGCGTTCTCGGTTTGGCACTCGTAGTCAAATCTACAGAAGGCTACTTTTGTAGTTCCCAGTGCAGGGTGGAGCGGAAATGTCATAATAGGCCAGAGCCGTCACTAAGGGACGGGCACTGGGGACCGGGGATCTCCCCCATCTGCAATGACGATGATCCCCGCCTACTAGCGTGGGAAACAAAAGGGTATTAGAAGCTAAAAATCTTCCTAGATGTTCACTTCCCCACCTAGGGACGAGTACCAGGGACCGGGGATTTCCCCCTGCTACTATGAGGATGATCCCATCCTACTTGCCAGCATGCGAGACAAAAGGATAAAANGGTTACAATAAGCCCGTACGCGTTCTCGGTTTGGCACTCGTAGTCAAATCTACAGAAGGCTACTTTTGTAGTTCCCAGTGCAGGGTGGAGCGGAAATGTCATAATAGGCCAGAGCCGTCACTAAGGGACGGGCACTGGGGACCGGGGATCTCCCCCATCTGCAATGACGATGATCCCCGCCTACTAGCGTGGGAAACAAAAGGGTATTAGAAGCTAAAAATCTTCCTAGATGTTCACTTCCCCACCTAGGGACGAGTACCAGGGACCGGGGATTTCCCCCTGCTACTATGAGGATGATCCCATCCTACTTGCCAGCATGCGAGACAAAAGGATAAAAGAAGCAAAAAATCATCCTAGATGTTCAATTCCCCACCTTGGACGGGTACCGGGGACCGCGGATTTCCCCCAGCTACTATGAGGATGATCCCATCGTACTTGCTAGCATGGGAGACGAAAGGATAAAAGAAGCAAAAAATCTTCCTAGATGTTCAATTCCCCACCTACTACTTTACACCCGCCAACTTGAAAGCTTGTAGTGAGAGCCCCTGGTGATCGGTAAATGACGCTGTTCGGAAAATAGACCGGTTTGTCACACACTTGCACAAACTCAGATTAATTTTTCGTTGCGGGGCGGGGTGCAGGGGACAAGGCTAAGGACTTTCCGAGGCACATCCTTGTTAATTCACAGCTACGTACACAGGTTATGTTGGCATATTCTCTTTACCATCCTTTCTAGTTTTGGGAAAACTTGTTAGAATGAATTTTTACTTTGGTATGATGTCGTCGAAAAATCATGGGATTGATGACATGATTCTCTGGTCTCTCGCACTTTCTTTGGTTAATAGGAGATCTTGCGGCTTGAGAAGGCGCTCTCTGATTCCCAAGAGAAACTCACAGATGCTGAAAACACCCGGGAGAGACTTGAAAAGGAATTGGAATCAATGTCAGACCTGTCACATAGGGTAAGTAGGTTATAAGTCACGTGGTATCCCCAATGAACTGTTGGATTTCATTAGTGTGTTATACGATGCTACTGTTACACAAGAGACAAGTGAAACTTGTTTATTCGGATTACGAATGAAGTACGTTCCCTTATAAAATGTTAACTTGAAATAGGTTTATTCTGTCTGAGCAATTACAAAGCAAGCAAGCTAGGCATTTATCTACTTGACTCTCAACTGATTCAATTTAGGTACCCTATCTAAAGATCGCATTAGGAACGCAATGTTAAAAAGGGAAAAAACAATGCGCAATACAAGGATCGAGACCCTCAAAGACCGTACCCTGTTAGGGCGGTACTTACCTTTTTAACCCATATAAAGGAGAACCCTTAATAAAACAGAGCTTTGTTAGTACCAGTGCAAGAGAAATGTGTTCTTATCGGTAGAGACGATGAGGTTTTAGCTGATGTATTGCCTGTCCCTTCTGCAGCTGGCTGAAGTTGAAAAACAGCAAATCCTAAAACAGCAACAGAACCAGAAAAACAGCAAAAGCATCCGCGAACTGGAGAGAATAAATCGGGTGAGTTTTATAATAGTCGTGTGTCTTCCACTACGTTGCTTTAAGCTCAATGTCTTCCTCTTGTGATTTAAGTCAAAGGGCGATACTAGAGCGGGGAAATAAACGACGAACACTTAAAACTGTTTTCTAAATGCCTTGCAGTTGGTCTGCAAATTGCAAATTGTCTAGCAGTTGGCGTGATTCGGACCTACTGCGCCAGTCTTAGAAGGACTCTGCCGCTCATTTAGCGATTTGAACACCTTGAGTGACTGCCTGAAAAAGGTCTCAGCTGGCTCACAGGCTAAACTTAGGACTTGAAACTTTTAGGCAATGCTAATAAAGAACTTTCATTATTAAACTTAAACTCGCTCTTAGATTCCTTTTTTGCATTGCATGGTTCAACACAAGGAGGTCTTATTAAGAGCTTCTAGAAAGCGCCGCGTGCACGTTGAGAGGTGCGATGCATATAATATTCGAATGTGCCCTTGTTTTGACGCGTTACCTTTTTGAATTAAGTAAGGGTGCCATTTAATAAATCGCCGTTTTAGAAACTTGAATGTTAAATCCTTTCAACTTCCCGTTTTGTCTATCAGGAACTTCGAGACGAAAATGACGAACTACGTCTCCAGTGCGAGGCCCTGACGCAGCAAGTGAACAACTCGGTCAAGCGACGACCAAGCCATCGAAAACGACAGGACAGTCAGAAGGTCCATCGGCATGGTTCGGTTCTTTCCGACTACACGAAGCCTGTTGTGATTAAGCGGAACAAGGAAGGTGTGACGTCATCGGATGAGTCCGATACCGCTGACCATCCAGACGGTACGCGTGTTCCTTCTGTGCGAGTCAGCGGTGATGGCGGGTCAAATGAGGACGCGGGTAAGCTGCACAATTCATGCACGCGCAAAGTTTTAATCTCATACTCTGCTCTATATTTCGGTGTGAACTGTTGTTTCAAGTGATGTGTGACTTCAGTCATTATAAAGTGTGTCCACCGATTAGATTCTACAGAGCACCCTGCTTCGTTAGTCTCTTTCCTTGCTAGCCTTAAGGTAAGGTGAGTTACAATAAGCGCACTTGCCATATTTCGCAGTTGCCGGGCCGCGTTGAATTTCCGTCCTGTAATAGTTGCTACCTCTTTGTAGAAAATATCAGGAAAACAAACTCTTCCTCTGTATATTCCTCCCCTTTCTCAGGAAAGGATCCCTTTACCAGAAGAGGGCATCGACTGTAGTCCTCAAAGATTACCTCAATTTATTTGAACTCAATTTATTCTCTAAGTACTTCGAATGCTTCTGAGTTTGAATCTGAGACCTCCAAAGAATACCGGAATTGTCCATTGCCAGTGTTTGTGAACACCTAACTTGCGATCAGGCGTTCTTTTTCACAAAAAGGGAAGAAGAAACGCCTGATCGCAGGTTATTGAACACCGTGTTCTGTAACCCACCGAAATATACCTCATTGGTAACACACTGAAACCGCTTTCACTTTCTTCTTTGCCGCTGACCATTAGTGCTGAATTGTTTGACCTGCCAACCGCACATTGTTAATTAGCAACTCACGTTTACTTTTAACATGGCTAATTATTGTTAATCTGTGTAAGTTTTAGTTGTGACTCGCTAATGGTAGTATTTTATAACAACTAAGCGCACCACACCGCGAGAGAACTGATGAGCAGCATCACCGACCACGTGGCTTTTGTAGGAGTCACTGAGAGGTTTTGTGTTTTTACATACGTAATCAACCTTTGCCCTAAGCTAACGGAGTAAAATGTATCTCTATAAATGATTCTCCTCTTCCTTTTTTTTCCCTTGCTTACAAGCTGTAGTTCCCATTGTGTTCTTAAATGCAATCTCGTTTGCCTTTCACGAAGAGCACTTTCCACACGCCTTATCATTTCAAAACATGGATCTTTCTCTCAAAACAGTTTTCCTTTCTCTTGACGCATTTTTTGTTTTCCACATTTCCAATGTGAATTAGGAGTCCTAGTTTACCTTGAATTCGTGACGGCCATGGACTGGATATCCTAAGGGAGCGGAAGTTCCGGGTTCTATTCCCGGCCGAAATAATACTCTACTCGGGGTCATGTAATTACTGCGGAGGGGTTTCCTCTCGCGGCACCTCTCGGATCTAATTCTTGTGGGACGTAAATCAGCCACTAAAGAGGTACTATCTTCTGGTAGTGACCTCCCCTAGAATCTCTCTCGAGGCAACACTTAAATCGGAACCTAGCGCTGTTTTATTATCCTTGTCATGCCAGTGTGGTTAAATTGCTTTAAATCAACATCTAAACTTCTTTCTCATTTCCATCATAGTTGTTTTCACTGTGTTCGCCTTTATCTTCTGTTCTTATCTTTACGAATCGACAGGTCAATTTACACATGATGACGCTCCTCCTCTCCCGTGGTCCGTGGAATGTGATGAACAAATCTTGTTCATAAAAACGGAAGGTTTTCTTCTCACTTCTATATTCATTTCTGTCCCGCTTATGATTTCCTCTCTTTGATAAGGATTGTTTACTTACACTTGTTTCACGCGATGAGTAGATACGCTAGCTCTGGTATACTCTTGTTCTTTCATCAGGCGCTGTTTTGATGAAATATCCTCTGGAATGTTTCTGGTCTGTCCTTTTCTTCCCTTTGCTCGCTTGATTTGCCCAGCTAGAAGGACATCTTAAGATCTTATTTTAAAAATGCGCATTTGCTCTAAAATCATGTCTGAAACTTGGATCTAATAAAGTTCAGCAAAGGCTCTGAGCGGCATAATAGTGCATTGGCATGAGTTGTACCTGATAATAAGCATGCCGGGTTTCTATAACCTACAGAACCGACTTTGTCTTCGTTATCTTCTCTCCCTTTGCGCTTGATCTAAGTTCCATGCTTCCCTCGAGTCTACAATCGCCTCTGAAACGTAAGAAACGTAGGCCGTCTCTGTTAGCAAAATTAGATCGAATGTAATTTTTAACGTCCTGCAATGGTTGTATTCTTGTGTATTTTGCAGGTGACTCGCATGAATTGGCAGAACAAAAGAGTAAGTTTCTTGATACAAATCTTTACATCACTTCTAACGGTTATAATCCATACCTAATGTCAGACCAAGAGGGATTATAAACCATATCCTTTTGTACCGCACATACCTATATAGCTTATATGTGAGTAATCCCCGGGTTACGTGAGAACGCTCGGCAGTCCCGGTTATTACACCTCGTTAACCCTACACTTTAACACTCTCATACTCTCGTAGGCGTTCTCCCTCAGAAGCTAAGAATTAATTCAACCCTAAAACAAATTATGAATAAAGTGCACCAGGAAAAGTCATTTGTTCGAACAAAAAACGAATTGTGACAAGTTTTTGGTATAGTTTATTAAAGGGGATTTGTCATGTCATTTGCTGTCTACGGACAGTAAGTATGTAGTAGTGTAAAAGGAAACCAGTTTTTTAATCACAATGCTATACCTGCAAAAATCATCAAAAAATTGAATTTNTGTGACAAGTTTTTGGTATAGTTTATTAAAGGGGATTTGTCATGTCATTTGCTGTCTACGGACAGTAAGTATGTAGTAGTGTAAAAGGAAACCAGTTTTTTAATCACAATGCTATACCTGCAAAAATCATCAAAAAATTGAATTTGCTGCCCCAAGTTTTGTTTATAGCAGATACGTAAATGATATTGGAGCCATTTTAAGCTGAACTGGCTCCCAGTGGAATAGAGAAGGGACTTAAATTTGCTTAAGTTGACTTTTAAGCACTTCACGCTAAACAGTAGCCTTCATATTTCTCTATATGTAGACGTTTGCGCTCTTCGGGCTCTGTCAGATTACAAGTTCCTCTGAAAAAAAACCTTCCAGCACACTGCGGCTACCCTTTTTAATAACCTTCCTTATAATCTTAAGAAGTTTGACTATTTTAATGTATTTAGTTCGCGCATTTTTAAATTCTTAAAGAACCAGGCACAGGCCGGCTTATCTTAATTGTACTTTAAGTTTTATTCATACGACCATTGTATATACTTTCTCTTTTAATCGTTATTTGTTCTATTATTTGTTTTATAAGTAACAGTTGAAGAGCCGTAATGTGGAAACCCTGTTATTAAACTGATTACTTACTTACTTTACTTCTATTCGGGCCTCATTTTTTTTCTCACCTCCTGTGGATGGACATCTCACCTTGCACTGAGATGGCCAATAGGCCACTTCCGAGTTCCAAAAACCCTCACTTTCAAATGAGGCCAAGTGCACAATCTTTCTTGTGAAAATGAGTTTTATTTGCATGAGAATGAAAAATAATTTCCATATCAAAGGCTGAGGACTTAACCTCGTTTTGATACAGAGGCCCGGGCAAACTCGGAAATGGCTTATTAGGAGAAAAATCAGTATGACCTCAAGTTTACCTGTGACAGAAATGAATTTGCAATCTAAAAATATAAACTGAATGATCGTAGATACAAACACTCACGGTGAATTAATAGATCCTAAAGAAAATATTGATTCACCTCTATCACGGAGCATATAACTCAATCCATACTTTAATAACTACTTTTCTAGCTTATTAAACCCTTTCGCTTCTTTTTTCTTTTAATTCAGAAGTCATTGAGAAGCTCGAGAGTGAATTGAAGGAAAAAGAGGAGCAGATTAAGACTCACATAGCCAAAGTTGAAGAACAAGAATCATCGATCAGCGAACAAGAAAAACTATTGTCTGAGCAGAAACAGTCCTTAACAGAATTCCAGGAAAAGGTGCAGCAACTGGGTGACACGATCAGACAGCAAGAAGGACAACTGAAGGAGCGAGAGGCAACTATCCACGAGCTCAAGGACGAGATCGAGTCACTCACAGGTTCTCTTGCGTCTGATAGCCAAGAAACACGGAAGAGATTCGACACCGAGTTAGCGAATCTCACTGCGCAGTTTACAGGCGAAATGGAGGGTCTTCAGAAGAGCTTTAACGTAGAAAAAGAACAGTTGGAGAAGGAGTATCAAGCAAAGATGAAAGACTTGGAGAGTTCGCTGAAGAGCGAACGGGAGAACCTCAGGAATGAGNAGAAGGACAACTGAAGGAGCGAGAGGCAACTATCCACGAGCTCAAGGACGAGATCGAGTCACTCACAGGTTCTCTTGCGTCTGATAGCCAAGAAACACGGAAGAGATTCGACACCGAGTTAGCGAATCTCACTGCGCAGTTTACAGGCGAAATGGAGGGTCTTCAGAAGAGCTTTAACGTAGAAAAGGAACAGTTGGAGAAGGATTATCAAGCAAAGATGAAAGACTTGGAGAGTTCGCTGAAGAGCGAACGGGAGAACCTCAGGAATGAGCTGGAGGATGGATTTAGACAGGAGAGGGAATTGTTGATCTCCGAGTACGAGAGCGAGAAATCCGAAATGGAGGAGGAACACAGGGGCGAAAAAGAGATGTTGGAAAAACTATTCAAGGGCGAGCTGGACAAAGAAAAAGAAAAGATGGAAATGGAGCAGAGCCGCTTAATGGAGAAGCTGCAAGTGGTGGAAAATGACAAGACAGAAGTGGAGTTGAAGCTGTTAAACGAGAAAGCGGAGCTGGAACAACAGTTCAGGATCGATAAAGCCGAGTGGGAACTGCAGAACACAACAAAGGTAGCCGCTATGGAGAAGGACAAACACGAATGGACGAACCTGAGGTCGGAGCTCGAGACCGCACATAAAGAACAGGTCAGCGTACTAGAGAACAAGTTAAGGAAAGAAAAATCTAAAATGGAGGAGGAATACGGAAACCAGACTTGGGAACTTAAGCAATCTCACGCCAAGGAGGTTGCAAGCCTCAAGCAGAGTTTTGTGGAGCAAAAGGCCGAAATGGAGCAGAGGTTTACCAGAGAAAAAGCCGAACTGCGTGAATCGTTCACTCGCGAGAGGAACGAAATCGAGCAGAGATTTGCTAGAGAAAAAGTAGAACTCACAGAAAACCTGGAAAACGAGCACAATCACACGCTTGCTTTGCGAGAGGCTGAGCTGAAAAACGGTTTCTTGAAGGAGAAGTCGGCTTTAGAGAAGCAGTTCGACGAGGAACGAGCAAAAATCGAGGAAGGTTTTCATGAAAATTCCACTCACAGCGAATTGGCTTTTCAGAAATGGAAAGCAGAATTGGAAGAACATTACACTGAAGAAAAGGCCAAGCTTTTACAGAACGCTTCTCGCGAGAAAGCTGAGTTGGAACAGCGCTATAAACATCAAATAACGGAGCTGCAGCAAGCGTTTACTGAAGGAGAGGCCGGACTGAAGGGACAGTTGAAAAACGACTTCTTGCGTTTGCTGGAAAAACATAAGGCTGAGTTAGAGGAAAGCTTTTCAAAGCAAAAAGTACAGTTGGAAGAAAGTTACTCGCGCGAAAAGGCCGAATTTGAGAAAAGTGGCACTGTAGGTTTGCAGGAAATCCGGGAAACTTACTCCCGTGAAAGAAATGAACTTGAGGAGAGTTACCAGAGGAAGATCAAGGATCTTCAGAGAAATTTCACTCGGGAGAAACAAGAGCTAGAAGAAGAGTACGTTCAGGAGAAGATAGAACTTCGATCTCAACTTGAAAAGGAATACGCCACTAAACTCAAAACCGAAACTGAACTTCTTGAACAGACAGTAAAACATCTACAAGATGAAATTAATTTTCTTAAGGAGCAAAAGCGAGAGCTCGAGGCGAAAGTCCAAACGCTGGAGTTAAAAACTTTAACTCGCAGTGATAAGGAAGCCGTAGAGTTGAAACTAACTCGTGAAAAGGTGGTTCAGCTGGAGAGCAAAGTGGATGCTTTGGAGAAAGAAAAAGGACGTATTCTGGAAAACAGCGTTAAAGAAATTACGGAGCAGAAAGTTTATTTGGACGAGCTACAAAGAGAGAAGGCGGCTTTGGAAAGGGAAACTCTAGAAAAAGAAAGGCAACTTTTAGAAGCGGAGAAGGTAGGTGCCTTTGTAATAATTTGCACTGACTGTTTTAGGTTTAACTTGACCTCAGTCAAGTTATATTTTGTATCTGTACTTTGTGTGACCGGATGTCGATAGAAGTCTTCGGTTAACAGGCAGATCATACGAGCAAGTTTTGTTCCCTGAATTGGCTTGTTTTTACGTGTTTGTTTTGTACTAAAACGGTTTCGTTTCAATAACAGCAACCGCATTGTTGTGCCCGCTGGTAGAGTGTATTACAAGAATTTGATACAAACATCAGTCTTATCAACTGCGTTGATAAATTAAATTTTCCACTTTATTAACCCTTTAACTTTAAGCCCCAATATCCACACACAAATTCTCCCGACTGATGCCCATATATTTTCCTAAAGAATAAGTTGAGAGAATTTGATAAACGATCAAGGCATTTTGGCTTTGGTGATCATTTTGTTAGTTCTCGTGACTCCTTGAGTCCTTAATGATGTTTCGATCTTGTTAAGAGAAAATTTGTGTTGGTCACTCTTGGGTTAAAGAGATCAAACAGGTGTCGTTTCGACGCTAGCAATTCGATAGTGGGTTGTGTGAGGTGCTTGGTTTCCAGTGATCGAATTTTCAGGTTTTAAATTTCTTTGCCGTCGGGAATTTACTTCGTTTATACTGAGCCGAGGATACGTTGTGTAAATAGTTGGAGATTTTTATGCGGTTGGGTTACGAAGCATGGTTCGCTCATGTAACTCATATTCCGTGAAACAAGTCTCCTGTTCAACGTGTACCATATTAGGTGGCTAGCTATTAAGTAATGATTCCGATAAGAAGGAAAGAACCAAACGCAGTGAACACGTCTGAATGCGAAAAGATGCTAACTTTACTATTGTCTCTACTACACTTCTGATTGGTTTAACATCAAATTTTACGAAATCTTCGCAAAGCACCATGTATATTAGTGCCTTGTTTTCTAACCAACTTCGTTATAACAAAATCTCGTGAGTATAAGTAACACAGAAATCCTATGTGAGGAACATTTCAAATTGTAAAATTTTCTTGGCTATTGTTTTCAACTCTTATGATTTATCGAAATCTTTTAATGAAGTTAAAATGCATTTTATTTGGTAAACTGCCTTTTTTTGGGTTTATGCCTTCTCTGTGTGAAAATGAAAACATTCCTATGTGAGGAAAGCGTATTGCGCCATAACAAAAGAAATTGCTCCCCGTCTTACCCGGATCATTACTTAAACAAGAGAGCAGTCAAAAGATGTTAGGGCAGGCTGGGGGAAAATGAAGGTTGATTACAACCACGTTCTTACCACTCGTTTGAGCGATTATCCTGTCTGGTTCCTCTTTCTGTCGCCTTGGGCTATTGAAGCAGTTTTGTACAATTCTGCCATTCGTATTTTATCCCACGATTTCGATCTTGTATTTGTTTGTTTGTTTCTATTGTCCCCTTTTTTATTTCTCAGTGTTGCAGATGGATGCGTGTAAATATCAAGTTACTTAATGAGTCCACTTCTCTCACAATTTTTTTGGAGAATTTTTTTCAGAGTTTTCTAGCACGTTTTATTTTAGTTTCGTCAACGTTAGGTGTAGAGTCTTTTAGTAAGCTATTGACACTTTGTTGTGAAAGGTGAAGAGTGAAGGAATGGGAAGACAGGTCAAAGAACTTCAGCTTAAATCTGAAGAGATGGATTTGCTTTTAAATCTACGAGCCTCCGAAGCGGAGGACTTGGGATTGAAACTTCGTAACAGCAGCTCTGAGAAGGAAAGATTAGAAGAGACTTGTAGAAACATGGAATCAGAACTTCAAGAAGCCAAACTAAGAGTTAACGAGCTGGAAGTAAGTTTAAATTTGAGCAGTTCTGAAAAAGGGCAGTTGGAGGAGAAATTGAAGGAGCGCGATTCCCAGCTGAATGGTTTGGCTTCAACGGAAGCTGAACTTAAAGATATCATGAACAAAAGCCAAGAGATTGAGGACATGCTACGCACCCGTGATCTAGAAAACCAAGAATTGAATAGAAGATTGCTAGAGAACAATGCAGAGTTAGAGAGTGAAATGGCGGAGCTGCAGACCGACTTAAAGAATGCTGTAGAAAAGTCAAGGGAGCTGGATGCGTTGTTAACGGTCAAAGAAACTGAAAACCGTGAATTACAGAAAAAGGTTAACGAGTACAACAAACAGAGGACCGAGCTGGAGGAAAAGGCTGCTCAGCTTACCAATCAGCTCGCGGACGCGGAGACTGTGCGACTCCAAGAGCTTAAAACACGGGTGACCGTTTGGGAAACTGAGAACAAAGATCTGGAGCAGCGGCTGAACCAGCGCAACAAGCACAACATGGAGCTGGAACAGAAGCTGAAATTGCTGACCAAAAGGATTGCTGACAAAGATGACGTCAGAGTAAGGGAACTTGAGCGCATGCTTGGTGTGCGGGAAAGTGCCTATAAGGCTCTGGAACAGAGGTTTGAGCAGCGCGGAGATGAAACAAGGCAGTTGGAAAAACAAGTGACGCAGCTGACTCAGAAGCTGGCGGATATGGATCACGTGAGACAGAAGGAGTTTGAAATTGAGAAGGTCCCGTCAACTATTGGTGTTTATTATTACTATTTTGTTGTTAATTGCTTTTGACCCACTGCGTTTAACTGTAACAATAGCAGCTATCTCCTAATGTTCTTATGTGTGGCAAAGTAATACCTAACCAACTTATACAGTTAATGTGTGGCCTATAGAGGAACTCCTAGCTCCTTGATTTTCAAAGACTTTTATCAATTAATACAGCTAATGTGTCGCGTGTAGAGGAGCCCTTACAGCTCCTTAGCTGGTAAAGGCTTTTTAAAGTTCTTTCTTTGTTCTATAACTGCATTCATCTTTGTAACACTCTTATTGTGTGGCAGTTCCATAACGCTTTTTATTGCAATAATGACCACTAATTTGTGTGAAAACAAAAAAACATAACATAACCATAATTCCGCTACCAAACAACTTTTTAAATCGGCGTTTCAGAAGCAGCCTTTCTCAGCAGACAGAAGACTGGAGTACATCCGGGACATGACCCCGGGAATTGACGTGACATGCGTCTCTTCGCTCTGAACACATAAACAGTAGTTACCGACACGAACCATAACACTCCGTCGTTTATTCTAAATAGTATAATAAATATAGGCAACAACGACATAATGCCTGACCTTGTCGATGACTTTAAAGACGATTTTAATGCTGTTTCGACAATTAGAACAAGTAAAACTGTATTAAAGCTTGACGAACAGATTTAAACTCCCGATTGTTTAAATATAATAAAATGTTAAGCGAACTATTTTAGAAATGAAAATGATTAAGGATGATTAATTATTTATGTCACGGTAATTTGTTTTTTTTTTCTTTGTATATACGAATAAGGGTGTACCATATATAAACCAAGGGCGCAGAAACGCGAGTAATTTAAAAACCTGTTTTTTTCATTAAAGCAAACTGTTGTTAAAAATTTAGCAAATCAGTTTTAACTCAACATTGTTTTTAATGGAAAATCAGCACTCTACATGAATGTAAAAATGCTTTGTTGTAGCCATTAATTTGATAAAAAGTAATGACCGAAAAACCCGACTTAACCCTAATATTAAACTGTGTTTTTCCCAAGAAGATATATTCCAATCAACGACTTTTCAGTCGTAAAGTAAAAAAATTAATTGAAACACGCCGTTTTCATTCTTACCCGTACAACAAGTAGCGCAAAAAATAATCACAGCAAACAAAAACGTGACTTGTAAATTTCGCTTATAACATAACAGCGCTTGGTGTCTTTTTGTGGCCAAGTTAAAAGGGTGCTTCCATAGGTAGTGGTTTAAGTTCGATGTCGTAGCTTTGATATGTTCAATTTTGCTCTAATTTAATGGCTTGAAGCGTTCAGGCTCCTGCCTGCTGCCCACAGGCTTGTATGCTCATGGTTAATACCTGTGTTTGTGTGTACAGTGTTTTTATTGATAATAGTGATGTGGAGCTTTTGTTTCTTGTATCCCTCTATTTCTGCCGTATCTGATGTTATGTGAACTAAGTGTTGACGCTCGTTTGTCACCTTCAGCTTTAATGTACGCTTTTAATGTTTGGAACTTATTTAATACTATCTTTCTCAGGTTATTTTTCATTAATTGTCATTAAGGTCGGAACACACCAAGCGACAAGTTCTTGCAACACGTTGCGTGCGGCGACACGTCGCTGCGACAAATCGTTCTGTGTGTACTGGAGAATTTTTGTGAAAATCTTTGTCTCCGCAACATAATTTTGTCGCGGCAACAAGTCGCAAAAAATCAAATCAGACTGAATCTGTGCGACTTGTTGAGGCGACAAAATTCTGTTACTGAGACAAAGATTTGCACATGAATTCACCAGACGGAGTACGCACCAAGCGATTTGTCACTGCGACGTGTCGCGCAACTTGTTGCAGTAACTTATCGCCCGACCTGTACGCACGGAGTGATTTATCGCCGCGAAGTGTTGCAGCGACATGTCGCCTAGTGTGTATGTGTTTCACACCACCGAACGAATTTTCGACCGGCTGAAATATTTGACCGAACACTTCGTTCACACGGGACTGTTCCAAGATTTTGCCTTTATTCACACTGAATTTTGAACAGCAAAGCGTTTAAACTTTCGTACGGTTAAGGTGGTTCAGTGTGAACTGAACACCAAAACGCACCAATTTTAACCCTGTCGAAAATTGGACGAGTACCTTTTGAACGTAGCCTAATTGGTATTGTTAAATCCCGTTTTGTGGACACCTGGTGGCAAAGGCTTCCTACTGCACTGGGGCTGGAGTTCAATCATTGCATCTTATCAACTTTCTTGCGATTTTATTGGATAAAACACATCACATGTTAAATAGTCTGTAGGGATCAGGAAAGTGCGTTTTGAAAACAAATTGAACGAGTTTGAAGATAATTGGCTGCTTTATAGGCTACTGGTACATTAAACAAATCAAAGGTGTCCTTACCTAACAGATTATCAGAATTTCACATCTCAATGGGAGCTTCGCCTCCGCGATCTTTAATTTACCAAGAGTAAAGGATGATTTATTTGCTAAAAACTTCCCTGTTATAACGGGCTTGCTCTCCAAGTTGCCGATACTGACCAGTTTAGTTCCCGAAGGTGTCCACAATATCGGGATTTGACTGCACCTCCTTGATTAAGACATCTCTTACATCACCCTTTTGTTGGCCGGCAATCAGATGCAGGGGCGGGGCTCTCACAAGTCTCTTTCAGGGGGAAGAAACTGTTTTGACTTTCTCACATTTGAACGCATACCACCCCGTTAGGAGATATCGTTTCTGCTACGCGACGGGAAGAGAAGACACACCTTCCTTGAGGGGCTCTCTTTATAGATGTATCCACTCTTTGTTAAAACTCTTTAGGAGAGAGTCGTTATCAACAATGCACCTCCTTAAATGGTATTATTCAATTTTTAACAGGCCAGAAATGATCTCATCACGATGGAGAAGAGACTGGAAGAGATCCAAGGAAAGAAGCAGGTGTTGGAAAAAGTCCTAAACGAAAAAAACTCAAAAGCTAATACTCTTCAAGAGGAGGTTTATGTGCTAAAAGAAAGACTGGCCAACGCACAGGGAACATATAAGAGAGAAATGGAAACTGAAAAGCGGAAGGTATGTGTTAACGGATTTACTCAAAGCAGAAAATATTTGTCACCTTCAGGGTTTATTCCAGAGCGCGGCCTTGCGGGACTTCCACAATTTGGAAAAAATACGGCATAAGATTTACGTTGTCGCGTCTAATGGGGCGCAAAAAAATAGACCCAAGCATAAGTACTATTTTTTTTTAAATAAAGTAGTCGAAAACATCTCTGACCATAACACTGATTAGACGGTCGCTGTATAAACTTACTTTGAACTTTTATAGCCTCTTACTGCTTCAATTACCTTTCTCTTCTTCGTTTGAGTCATTCCTTCACCAGACAAACATCCGGGGTTTTGCAGTAGTTCGAGCCCAGGCTTTTTCAGTTGCCCAGAATAGTCTGTACCAATAAGTTCAAATACCTTTTGGGCGACCCCCTTTCTTGAAAAAGGGCCTCCTAAAATTACAGAAGGGGGCCCATTTGACGCTCTTTGGCCAGTTTCTAGAATAAACCCTGTTCACCACCCGTCTTCGAACAACCTAAATAAGTTGAATTGTCCTTCTGCGACGTTTTGCCAGTTCACATTATACCTTGACGTTGTCAACTAATTCCTGTAAAAAAATATCTGAATTCTAAAACTGAAGTACCAGCGATATTCACATATAGGATCATTTTACTACGACCACTTAGATACTTTGCATACTTTGAACCGAAAATTCGGGTTCATGAACAGCCAAAATTCGTTTTTGAGAAATTATTTGTGATTGGATTGTGTTCTCACTAATACCACTTCCTGCACAATACGTGTTCACTGTGTCAATTTAAAGCAGGTGAGGGTAAACCTGGGTTAATTGTAGCTTACGACCTACAGCAGTCGAAAGTCAGATTGTAGGTCGCAGCAAGATTACCTTAATGTGCTTCGAAAATTCTTACTTCTTGGATTTTCTAACGTCTACGCATAATGTAGAATTTATGAAACCCATCTTTTCACCGTAGATCTTTTGTGTTCTGTGTTTCTTTGTTATGTCCTCCTTGTTTATTATGTTATAATGCGTGCTTTGCATCGAAGCAGTTTGTTTGTATGTGTTGTAAAGTTTGGTTTGCAGCTTGCATTACGTTAATTGTGTGACGGTGTGTGACATTTCGTGACGTAACATGACGTAACTTGACGTGTTATATGACGTGTGGTAAGATGTGTCCTTACATGTTGGTAAGTCATTTCGTTACTCTGCAATTCTTTTTTGTTGTTACCATTGTGTTTGTGGAAGAACAAATTAATTCTTCGTTCGGATGTTCTTTTCTTGTAGGCTGCACTTGCAAACACTGAGCTGATGACAATGAGGTCGCGTCATCAGCGTGAGGTTAGCGATTTGAAAGAACAGCTTCATCGTGCAAACTTGGCGAGCGATCGGGATCAAGCGCTCAGAGAAAAAGTCTTCAACGAAGCAAAAGCGGAGGTTATGGCACTGAGCAAGAAGGTGAGAGTGAAGTTTCATTCCTTCAAAGCGGGGCCAAATAGTCACGATAGATGAAGAACATGTTGAAATGTGTAGTGATAGTCGATAAAAGTTTTCCCCATTGGTCACGTTCATGATAGTCGATGGAAGTTCGGTCAGCTTTTTCTCGCCTTTTTCGTCCATTCAAAATGGCGGACCCTCTCTACGTAAGGCAAAACACAATGGAAAAAATGACTTTAGGTATTTACATGTAGGATATAAGGCTATTCTGGTGGTGAGAAAAATGATAAAACGGCGAGATTGGCCTCCTGGCGTTTTTCTTTATAGTCCATGCAGTAGTATACATTGGTTTCGGCTATCATGGTCAATCACGCGCTATCATGATCTGTTTGGCTTGAAGCCAAGGTATTGAATGATAGTTAAGAATAATTGAAACTATCATCAATCATCATGCCCGTTGGGCCCGGCCTGTAGTTTCCATAATCGAAGACTGAGCTGATTAAAGAGAAAACGGTGGGTTTTGTTATTACATTCAATCAAGGTATTTAGCAGTGAGAGATCCCATTTGTGAGTGTTTCAAAGGTGAAGACCTCTTAGTGTCACTGACTCACGTTCATACTTCACATGTAGAATCACAAAAAAGTAATCAAAGGAAAGGCAATTTTCCTGCAAATTATCGACTTGGTTAAATGTTTTCTTGTTGGGTTATTGCGTCCATTTCGTTCCATAACCCCTACAGTACTGACTGAAATTTAAACGGGAAACTAAGATAGCGTCTGAATAAATAGCGTCTATTTCGACAAAAGATATATAAAAAAGTAGATCAGTTATTAATAGTTCTGTAGTTATAAACCCTGTTAGTGCGTTTTTGCTTACTTGCGCCAACAAAAAGAGAATACGACTTTTGAAGGCCTAGCTCTAAAATCCTTTGCCAGGCATTTATTTCTTGTTCTACGAAACGAAAGCCCGTATGATATTTATCTTATTAGCTACGGATCCTTGTTTTTTCGGGCCATAAATCGAAGAAAAACCTTCGTTTTAAATTTACAGTACGGACCTCAAATCTGCAAAAAAAAGTATGTTCAAGTTATCAAAAACTTTGGTGTTTTGGGGGTGTAGGTCTTATTGATTATGCAAACAGTGCTGCCGAAAACGCTGTCCATTGGATTTTCCGTTTCAAAATTCCTGTTTCGTTGTTGAAAATTTTGCCGTAACAATGTTAATGTTAGTTATTGCGCCCGTTGTTAAAAGAAAGGTATTTTCATCATTCAGCTCGAAGAAAAGACTCGAAGATTACGAGAACTTGAAAGTGCTAGTAATCTATGGGAAGGACGGATCAGGTCACTGGAAAAAGAAAAAATGGAGTTGCAAAATCAAGTGAAACAGACTAGAGAAGCCTTGGACGAACACGTGGCGAGACTCAGTAAACAGGTAGACACGGATTGCTTTATTATTCATTCACAAAACCTTTTCATCTACCTGGAACTTCCTCTAAACATCTGTTAAATCATCGCAGTTATACCTTTTAGCTGTTACCTATCTGCTTTGCGCCTTGTAGAGCATAAGGAGTAGTTACAGGATATGAACATATGTTTTTTTCTTTCTTGATATTCATAATGAATTGGTGTGATAGTATTAGGCAGTACAGTGACCTGACACCCTATATTAAGCGAACGAATGGTTCAGTTTGTTTCAAACTTTTCCTCAATTATTTCTTGTTAAAAGAACCTATATTAAGAGGACACCTCGATGAAGAGGTCAACAGATAAGGCCCCTCGGGTGTCTGCTTAATACAGGTTTCACTGTAATTAGGGGAGTTCGTCCTCGAGAAGCGTTTGAAATGTTGCAGCCATTTTGATAAGCTTTGAAGCTGTACATGAATGGAACGGTCATCTAGAAATTTTTAGCCGTCCTCAAGTAATAGAAAGTTCTAGGCAATATTTGCTTTTCCGAACAGATATTTTACAGAAAGCAGTCGTTGGGTGCCCCTGTATAATGCCTCCTAGCTAGATTAGTGTTTAAAGTATTTTGTAGGTGGCTTTATGTCTTACTTAAGTAGTATTGTCTTTTTCCCTCTCTTCTCTTCTGTGTGCTGTATAAAAATAAAGTTCTCGTCTTGTTTTGTCTAGCACTGCTGTGGTGTAGCACTTGTACTAGCTGAGATAGTAATTTTCTTCTTGTTATTTATAACTTCTGTGAATTAGTGAATTCATAAGAATGACTCCTTTTTTGGGTTTTCTTGGCAGCTCCAACAAACAGAGATCAGTGCAACACGTTCAGGCAATCTCGTTCAGGAACTTTACATTGAAAATTCCAAACTGACCAAAGCCCTGCAACAAACGGAGGCCAATGAGAAGAGAGCTGAGAAGGCAAACAGGCAACTAACAGAGCAGAAGAAAGCTTTGCAAAGGGTCATCTCTAAACTATGTGGAGCCAACGCCATTGCCTGAAAACAAGTAGCTGTCTTTTTTGTTACATCGTGAGAAATAACTTCGTGTACGTGTATGGACAGCATGAACTGTCAACAGCCATTCTGGTCCTTATTACGTCATCCTTCACGACCTCATACGACTCATACGTAAAGACATCGCTCATGTTATGACGTCATCAGAGCCAATTCCTGAAACGCATTCCTATCCCTTTATTGGGTGCATGCTTTGCGAACCTCTTTAAAGCTTCTAACAAGAATGCGTGGTCTGGCTCCAAAATGAAATATTTGGACTTATCTTTCAAGTATTTATACAGCATTTACTGTATGTGCGAGAAAACGAACAAACGACCTAATTTTACAAAGAGGTTTCCAACTTTTTGATATATACTAAAACTTTCCAGGCGGACGTGGCAAATCACAATTAACGTCGAGTGAATTGATCATCAAGACTAACCTATAGACCTAATTAACATCCATAGTTTAAAATATTTTTGTAATGTGAATTTCAATTGTATTTCGTACTAATCCTGTAGAACTGCTAAAGCAAAAAGATTGTCAGAACATAATTTTATATATTTTATAGTTTTTGTCTAATGGAACGACATGTAAGGTCACTTTTCCTGAAACGCTTCAGCAATTGCAGAAAGCTACTTTTGGCCTTTCGAATATTGCTGTTTTCGAACCATTTTCAGCATGCAAGCTGATAAAATTTTAACAAAATTGTGACCACAGCTGTGACAGCTTTTGTACAGCTAACGTATATTAACATTTTTAAGGCCATTAAGGAGAATTCGTCTATCAGTCCATCAACCTCCCAAGCTCTTCAAATCTCATTCTGGAATTAAAATTTTGTTTCAGACTGAGTCCAACCAAAGTTAATAGAGTGGAATGGTTATGAAGCCCGTCAGACTCTTTTGTTGATATGTTTTTATGGACCCGACGGTACGCAACGTTCAATAGCATTCCTGTCATTGATCTTATTGGCCGCTAAAAATGTTGTATTAATTTATTCAGTAAATTTGTGAACAGAAAACAAAGGATTTTGCACCATCAGGGAGCTTTCAACATAACACTGCAGCACTGCTGGTTTTATCTTTGATGTTTGCTGCCTATCATAACCAGTCCTCTACTAACTATGGTCCAGCGAATTCAAAATCAATAATTACCACCATGAACGTATTCATAAGTACATATTAATCAAGCTCAGTAACACCATTTGTATAATTATGTAGCCAATGCCCTTTCTTTCATACATAGTAAATAAAACCCGCCATATATTATCTCCAGGCGTGTTTCTTTTAGGGTTATATAGTGAATTTTTAGTAGACTGTAGCTTGTTAGGCTTTACCTGGTCAATATCGAGCGTGGTTCAATTTGGCGGACACCTAGTCGCCAGTGGCGATTTCAAACGAACTTTGCAATGAAAACGCTAATTTTAATGTTAATGCGCCCTTTTTCGAAGTCGACAGTGTTCTATCATGTTAGACGTTGGAAAATTGAAAATCACTTAAAGTTTGCCCATGGGGAACTAACAATTCTAGCAAACTTTCCGAAGTAGGTAGTAACTTATTTTAACTTTACAGCTACTGTAACGTTTTGTTTCTATTTCGTCAGATTTCAGTAGTGACGAAATAGAAACGTGAAAAGAAAATTAGAAAACAACACCAATTCTGAGTTTTTTCGATATAAATTCTCGATATTTATTTTTTCTGTTCAAACTCTTTTTCCGCGTGGTTACATGTGGCTCGACTCAAATGGACTGTTCTTTTCACTACACAGTCGGCGTTGCTATTTATTTCAAAAATATATCTAATTGCGAGCTACAAGAGGAGCCCGCAATCCTAATCTCCAGGTTGTTACTACGCATTCGTCGACTGTATGTAGCCAGCTTTCGTTTGGAATTCCACTAAGAATGAATGGAATGCACAACGCAATTTGGTCACACGCGTTTGGGCCGTCTATCACTGTTAATCTGATCACGCGTGTTTTGACCATCTATCACGTGAGACTTGTGCAAAGCAAGCAAAAGCAAAAAGCGTTTTGACCTTCGATCGTTGTCGCCCGCTCTTCGTAACACTTGACTATTACCAGTCTAATAGTTTAGTAACCATGGTTACATATTATCAAAAGATTGTAAAATGTTAAGGTAGCACCACCCTCAGCGATAACTGGAACTTATTTTAACAACAAGTTACTGTGGTCTCTTGATATAACGACATACAATTACAACCACTTGCTGGGTATCGATAAGAATGGATCAAAGGATAAAATTTAAGGAAGAACAACCTTTTTGTTGCCTAATGTAAACCCCCGCCGGAAGCGAGGAATTTTCCATTATTTGATGGGCAAGAGAGCCGCAGTGTCGAGGAGTGGATCGGGGCAGTTTCCACCGAGGTGGAATGGGTCAAGAATCTCAAATCGAGCAACATAGCGGCTCCTGACTATGAAAAGAAGGTAGGCATCCTTTGAATTTACAATACGCTGTCTTTTGAAATCTAGGAATGTTGAAGTTCCATTTTAATAAGTTAGAAGCATTTACATTGTGCTGTGTAATCAGAGCCAAGTTGTTCAAAAGGTGGATAACACTATCCACTGGATAGATCTCTAGCCAACAGACCCTTCCACGGTTTAGACGTGGACCAGTTGGGGAAAATCCGTCAAAACCACAGAAAAGCGCGCCTTAAATTAGTAAAATTGCCAAGTTTGAAAGTGATACGTCTCAAGCGTGCGAAGATAGAGCTCTGCAAAGATGCAAAAATTTACAGACGTTTGCGCCCCACCACACAACCTCCAGAAAAATTTCGCCATTTTGAGGAGCTATATGTTAGTTTTAAAGGCGCTTTTTCCAGCAGAGTTGACGAATTTTTCCTACCTTGTCCATGTCAAAAGTTGAAAAAACAAAAAAACAAAAAAAAAAAAACGTGGAAAGGTCTATTGATCTCTCTCATATACAAGGGATAGTAATTCATTCCGTGGATACACTATCCAACATTTGAACAAACAAGGCCAGACTGTCAAATCACGACACCATTTCTTTAGAATGGTTGTTATAGTTAATACAGAGCAATAGTTATAAAGCCAACCAGACTTCTTTGTTATATGTCATTCTTCGCTTTTTTAGGCGTGACTGTGCACAACGTACAATAGCATTTCTATTGTTTTGAACTTACTGAGCAATAGATACATCGCATTAATTTCGGCTTTCGCAACCAGTCTCCTTTACTAACTATGGTCCTATAGACTATCAAACCCATATTTTAAAGTGGAGTTACAGTAGCTAGGCAAAGTATAATGACGTTTATCTCTTGATTACAGTAAATATTACTTGAAATTACCGGGGTATCAGCTTAATAAGGTTTGTCTGTAAGAAAATTTGACTGTGCGAAAATCAGCGACTGGCAAACCAGTTGAAGTTTAAAATAGTTTAAAGAGGCCGTGTCACGGCTGTTTAATTCATTTTGCTTAATATTGCCAAGTACACGTTCTTATTGTATTTGCCGTGTTATTTATACCGTCTTTTAACGTGTTGATCTAGCCCCAGTTGTTCAAAAGGTGGATAGCGTTATCCAACAGATAAATCTCTATCCACTAGATAGCGCAATTGGTTTTCCTAATACTTATCCACTGGATAGTGACTTATTGGTTGGATAGCGCTATCTTGCTTTTGAATAACCGGGGCCTGTTTTTTTTTGCTTGTTTTTTTTTAATTTGGTTGCAGTTCCTACTACCTGAATTTTGATAAATTTCGTGAAACATGTACAGCCTTTTTAAACCAGGCATTGACATCAGAGGCATATAACCAGAAGGATATATGCTGCTGTTTACACATATAGCCAGTCTACCACCTGGTACAGTGGTTTACGATTGGCCGGGTGCATTATTCAGAATAGAGCCGAAACTTGTAAGAGCTCAAACATACCCTGATGGAACTTTCCTGGTGTGGAAAGAGACTATCCCTAGAATACTGGATATACCTTCATGTAAGTATCCCTTAGGTAATACACCGTATTCACAAATGGCGGACACGCGGGAAAAAGCTGGTGCCTAGTCATGAAAGCGAGGCGTTGGAGGATAAACAAAAATTACAAACGAAGACTTTCAGTGAACTTGCAGAGTGTTTAGCACGGATTCCACCTAAAATAACTTTGTACGGACTTCTTTTTAAGTACAATTACGTGGGATGTCTTCTGCTTTTAATGTTTAGTAGTGATTTGCTGTTTTCAATGAAAAGGGACGCGTATATCTTCAAGGAAACAGGATGATTTTGTAGGTTTCGTGGACGATCGCCGGAGAAAAGCGGCAAACATGTTGGCCCAAACTTCACATTGAAACCGAGTACGAAAGCCAGCTCACTGCAATTCGGTGAAACAGAAATATAAACAAATCTTGGTGGCAAGAAAAGAAGAAATAAGCGACAGATATATGGCCTACTTGTTAACGCAAGAGACGTCTGCCGTTGAACTGAAACACATGGAAAAAAGGAAGACAGGAAAGTAGAGGTGACTGAGGTTTCGATGAAGTTATGTTTGGTTTTTGTTTGCCAGGACGTTATTCTCTGGTCTTAATCGATGAAGGACATCAATTAGAACTATTTTTTTAGTATATAAAAAAAGGAGCGTTCGAGTGGAGTACGCTCAAAATTTCAACATGTTACTCGGCAGACTCGGTAAGCCGGCCACATATCATTTCAGCGAGTAATTTCGTATTTCTTATCTTTGGCTGTTAAGACTTTTAACTTAATGTTTCATAATAATTTAAAGTTGAAGAATACGTAAATAAATAAAATGATGGTCTTCTTCTTAAACGGATCCAGACTCGAATTTAATTATTCGAAACAGAAGCTTGCCGTGTTCATTCCTGACACAAACATTGCCTTAAAAGTTTAACCTAGTAAAATGTAAGCTTTATACTACTTTTTTACCAAGAGCTCTCTGAGATAATGCCCTGAAGGAGACCAGGCAAATAGGAAGCCATTCACACAGTACAGCTTCTAATTTTAATAAAATTATTTTTAATTATTTCGCAATGACAAAGAAATCATAAGATTTTTACTAAGCTCTGCCAACGTACCTCAGCAACAATACACTCCAAAGCGACGGAATTAATATTATCCAAAGGAAGTTGTAAATGCAGAAATACATATATACATAGATATGTATAAAATGACACTGACATGAATAAATGAGCCTTGTGAATGAATCTTTCACCCGCTCTCGACTTGACCTGTTTTGTGTAATGGCGGAGGTCTCTTCCGTTAACAAGTAGGCCATATATCCGTCGCTTATTTCTCTTTTTCTCGCCACCAATATCTGTTTTTATTTCCTTTTTACAGAATTGTTGTGATCTGGCTTTCGTACTCGGTTTCAATGTGAAGTTTGGGCCAACATTTTGCCGCTTTTCTCGAGCCATAGCCCACTTGTCAAGCTTCTGATGCTTCGGAAACCTACAAAATCATCCTGTTTCCTTGAAGATACACGCGTTCCTTTTGATTGCAAACAGAAAATCACTACCAAACATTAAAGGCAGAAGACATCCCACGTAATTGTATTTAAAAAGAAGTCCGTACAAAGTTATTTTTGGTGGAATCCGTGCTAAACACTCTGCAAGTTCACTGAAAGTCTTCATTTGCAATTTTTGTTTATCCTCCAACGCCTCGCTTTCATGACTAGGCACCAGTTTTTTCCCGCGTGTCCGCCATTTGTGAATACGGTGTATAAAATCCCTCATATCGAGGAACAAAGCGACATTTATATAAAACTAATTACTGCGCGACAAAAAAAATTTCATTCCATTGCAAGCACTTTCCTACAAGGAATATATGTATATTTTTTTTTGGCTGGGCAATCTACTATTTTCTGGGTGTCCTGAGCAGCGTTTAGCTACAATTCAGGTATCAGGCCTTTTCTCAAAGGTCAGGGGAGGGGAGATTTGAAAAAAAAAATAAAAGGGGGAGAGAAAGAGAGGGGGTGGTTAGTGTATCCGTCTCTTCACGCTCTCCTCCGTTTCGCTTCACTCCTCCCCTAGTTCCCCAGAAGCACCTGTTGCTCATGCCACTAGCGGATAGAGTTGCCCGTGGTAATTTATTATAATTTCCAATATGGAATTGATACCACAGAGGAACTGTCATGTTCTAATGACGTCTAATTGAAAGGTGTGGATATTGTGCTCTGAAACACTTAATAGGCTCTTTGCAGCTAGCCATTCACGTGGTACAAAACCGCCACGCTGGAGAGCAAAACTCGCACTGGGACAGGACAAACAAAAGACATATTCCATAATTTTAAATGGTAATTTCCTTTGTTTGTCTTGTCCCAGTGCGACTTTTGCTCTCGAACAGGGGGGTTTTGTACCACGTGAATGGCTAGCTGCAAAGGGCCTATTAGGCCTTGTTCACACCAGTGCGACGCATGTGCAAACGCAAGTGCAAATGCACATGCAAACGAGGTTCACACGTCGTGCCATACGCAGGTACGTCAGCCCAGGTCTTAACCACTGAGCCGTGTTAGCATGGAACCGATGAAACCTGTCTTTTCGCACTTTACGTTTCCTTTGCCTCCGTTCGCGGTTTGAAATCCGAACGTAAGCACAAATGCAAGTGCAAGGAAATAGAAATTTTTAAATTTCGTGCGTCGTTTGCCTTAGCATTATGGTGTGTTCAAACGTGTACTGTATTTCTTTGCCTTGTGCCGGTTTGCATTTACATGTGCGTCGCACGTTTAACACATTTTTTTCTTATTTTGAACAACTTTTTATCAAATTTAAGGAATTTACTTGCACAATCTCCATAGGCCTAGTCATAAAATGACTATAGAAAAGGTTTCCATATTTTTCTTTTTGTTGTATTATATTACTGATTTAAAACGTAATGTTTTTAGCGCGCGTGTGGTTCTCAATACAGACCGCCAACTCGTCCCAAATCTTTATACTCATCTTTGGAATATCTGCTTGGATATTCCTCAAATACAGTGGAAAATTGATCCACTCTAGAACACCGGCTGCATGTTTCATTTTTGGGCTCTTGGAATTCTTTATATGACAGCTTTCTTTCGCTCTCACTGTCATCGTTCGCACGGTGTCTGTTATCAAAGCCTATGCTATACTTGTTGTCATATCTGTAGTCTTGGTAACTGGGTGAAGTACTTAGGCCGTGTCACGGCTGTTTAATTCATTTTGCTTAATATTGCCAAGTACACGTTCTTATTGTATTTGCCGTGTTATTTATACCGTCTTTTAACGTGTTGATCTAGCCCCAGTTGTTCAAAAGGTGGATAGCGTTATCCAACAGATAAATCTCTATCCACTAGATAGCGCAATTGGTTTTCCTAATACTTATCCACTGGATAGTGACTTATTGGTTGGATAGCGCTATCTTGCTTTTGAATAACCGGGGCCTGTTTTTTTTTGCTTGTTTTTTTTTAATTTGGTTGCAGTTCCTACTACCTGAATTTTGATAAATTTCGTGAAACATGTACAGCCTTTTTAAACCAGGCATTGACATCAGAGGCATATAACCAGAAGCTTATATGCCGCTGTTTACACATATAGCCTGTCTACCACCTGGTACAGTGGTTTACGATTGGCCGGGTGCATTATTCAGAATAGAGCCGAAACTTGTAAGAGCTCAAACATACCCTGATGGAACTTTCCTGGTGTGGCAAGAGACTATCCCTAGGATACTGGATATACCTTTATGTAAGTATCCCTTAGGTAATAAAATCCCTCATATCGAGGAACAAAGCGACATTTATGAAAAACTAATAACTGCGCGACAAAAAAAATTTCATTCGATTGCAAGCACTTTCCTACAAGGAATATATGTATATTTTTTTTTGGCTGGGCAGTCAACTATTTTCTGGGTGTCCTGAGCAGCGTTTAGCTACAATTCAGGTATCAGGCCTTCCTCAAAGGTCAGGGGAGGGGAGATTTGAAAAAAAATAAAAGGGGGGAGAGAAAGAGAGGGGGTGGTTAGTGTATCCGTCCCTTCACGCTCTCTCCCGTTTCGCTTCGCTCCTCCCTTAGTTCCCCAGAAGCACCTGTTGCTCAGGCCACTAGCGGATAGAGTTGCCCGTGGTAATTTATTATAATTTCCAATATGGAATTGATACCCCAGAGGAACTGTCATGTTCTAATGACGTCTAATTGAAAGGAGTGGATATTGTGCCCTGAAACACTCAATAGGCTCTTTGCAGCTAGCCATTCACGTGGTACAAAACCGCCACGCTGGAGAGCAAAAGTCGCACTGGGACAGGACAAACAAAAGACATATTACATAATTTTAAATGGTAATTTCCTTTGTTTGTCTTGTCCCAGTGCGAGCTTTTGCTCTCCAGCACGGCGGTTTTGTACCACGTGAAAGGCCAGCTGCAAAGGGCCTATTAGGCCTTGTTCACACCAGTGCGACGCATGTGCAAACGCAAGTACAAATGCACATGCAAACGAGGTTCACACGTCGTGCCATACGCAGGTACGTCAGCCCAGGTCTTAACCACTGAGCCGTGTTAGCATGGAACCGATGAAACCTGTCTTTTCGTACTTTACGTTTCCTTTGCCTTCGTTCGCGGTTTGAAATCCGAACGCAAGTGCAAATGCAAGTGCAAGGAAATGGAAATTTTTAAATTTCGTGCGTCGTTTGCCTTAGCATTGTGGTGAGTTCAAACGTGTACTGTATTTCTTTCCGTTGTGCCGGTTTGCGTTTTCATGTGCGTCGCACGTTTAACACATTTTTTTCTTATTTTGAAATTTTTTTTAATCAAATTTAAGGAATTTACTTGCACAATCTCCATAGGCCTAGTCATAAAATGATTATAGAAAAGGTTCTCGTATTTTTCTTTTTGTTATATCATATTACTGATTTAAAACGTAATGTTTTTAGCGCGCATGTGGTTCTCAATACAGACCGCCAACTCGTCCGAAAGCTTTATACTCATAGTTGGAATATCTGCTTGGATATTCCTCAAATACCGTGGAAAATTGATCCACTCTAGAACACCGGCTACATGTTTCATTTTTGGGCTCTTGGAATTCTTTATATGCCAGCTTTCTTTCGCTCTCACTGTCATCGTTCGCACGGTGTCTGTTATCAAAGCCTATGCTATACTTGTTGTCATATCTGTAGTCTTGGTAACTGGGTGAAGTACTTCCAGCCACGTGACTTCTTCCGTCATGTTTGGTATCCAGGAGTNCAAATGCACATGCAAACGAGGTTCACACGTCGTGCCATACGCAGGTACGTCAGCCCAGGTCTTAACCACTGAGCCGTGTTAGCATGGAACCGATGAAACCTGTCTTTTCGTACTTTACGTTTCCTTTGCCTTCGTTCGCGGTTTGAAATCCGAACGCAAGTGCAAATGCAAGTGCAAGGAAATGGAAATTTTTAAATTTCGTGCGTCGTTTGCCTTAGCATTGTGGTGAGTTCAAACGTGTACTGTATTTCTTTCCGTTGTGCCGGTTTGCGTTTTCATGTGCGTCGCACGTTTAACACATTTTTTTCTTATTTTGAAATTTTTTTTAATCAAATTTAAGGAATTTACTTGCACAATCTCCATAGGCCTAGTCATAAAATGATTATAGAAAAGGTTCTCGTATTTTTCTTTTTGTTATATCATATTACTGATTTAAAACGTAATGTTTTTAGCGCGCATGTGGTTCTCAATACAGACCGCCAACTCGTCCGAAAGCTTTATACTCATAGTTGGAATATCTGCTTGGATATTCCTCAAATACCGTGGAAAATTGATCCACTCTAGAACACCGGCTACATGTTTCATTTTTGGGCTCTTGGAATTCTTTATATGCCAGCTTTCTTTCGCTCTCACTGTCATCGTTCGCACGGTGTCTGTTATCAAAGCCTATGCTATACTTGTTGTCATATCTGTAGTCTTGGTAACTGGGTGAAGTACTTGCAGCCACGTGACTCCTTCCGTCATGCTTGGTATCCAGGAGTCTTGATGACGAGTTATATGACTTACCAGGTATCTTCTCGTCTCTGCACAAGCCGCCTATGAGGTCTTGAAGAGCTGATTTCTGATGTTGAAGTTGTTCATTCTGCAGGTGAGAGACTTTCTGCCCTTCCTCGAGGGCTTGTAGACTCTTTTTTAAGCTGTTATTCCTGGAGTGTAACTCCTGGACTATTTGTTCGGAGATTCCAGTCATACTCGTCACATCCTGCATCTATGCAAGCAAAACCAAATTTTAAATAATTCACAATTCTTACTTGGCTTCGAGGGTGATGAGTGAAGACAAAAGAAAGGGCGTCGAGATGCAGGGTTTCATATCGGAGAAACCCTCGGAGCCAAGTTTGAATTTTGTTTAATTCATAAATTGGTGAATTAGCACAAATGACCGAAGCACAACGTGCGCTTCAGAAAACTGGGTACTAAAAAGCTTTAAAAATTAAGCAAAGGAGTGATATATTGATAAACCTTGCCGAGATTCGCGATTTCTTTTTCTTTCTTTTTTCTTTTTTAATCTAAAAATATCGACCAATCTTTTTTTATGAGTACAAGTGAATTTTGAAAGTGTCATCGAAACTTGGCGGTGTTTATTTCTGTTAATTCCTGCTAGGTTTATCAATACAAACTCCATGGTTCAATGGTCAAAACCCAGATTTCCGACTTGCATAATGCTAGTCTGCCCAGCAAGCTTTCCGGATATGCACCACATCCACATCTCCTGTTGTGCCTTTCGCCCGCGCCGTGACTCTTGCCGATATACCCCAAATGGAAAGTTTGCTCGTGGGCCAATCGGAGAAGCAACTCACGTTTGGGTCACCCGTGAAATAAGGGTTTTATGAAAGGCCATCATCTTAAGGATATATATTTCTGAGCATGTTAGGTTTTCAAAATCACTTAATATAACTCCTTCACTGACTTCCAGCATTTCAAAAGAAATGTGATTTGGGTGTGACTTAAAGACTTATTCGCGTCTCCGCTCGGTTGCTCGTGCATTTTTGCGTACCTCATGAGTGTAAACTGTGCGAAAAGTATGGAGAGTTGACGAGTTTAATCTATGAGCTGCGCATTCCTGTGTACCGTTTATAGTAGTTCGATGGGACGTTAAAAGCGTTTATCTTAATTTCTTCAACATGTTCTTTATGCGGTATCACTAGTAGGGAACACAGTTTTATCAACAAAAGGAAACCAAGCCTCTATTATTCATTGAAAAAGACTTCCATCAATGACGAATCTTAATTTGATTGTCAGAATTTGTCGATTTTCACAAAGCGACAAGAAAGGACCTTTACACGGGCCTTTTAATTGCAACTTATTGTTAAGTAAGAGAAAAATAAAATCTCTTGTTTTTAGTTTATGAAAAAGCGGAAGCTAGACCATCACTTCACCAAAATTTCTGCTTTTGTTTCTTTACTAAAACAAACCGGTTTACAAACTGCAACTTTACAAACCTTTTACGAGTAAAAATTGTTTTCTCATGTTAGAAGCTAGTAACTAAGGACAACGTGTTCTAGATTGAAACAATTTTTTTTCTGGGATTCTCTGTTTCAGGTGGTTTACTGAGGAGAAGCCCCTGCAGCAATATAAATCAACGAATGAATCGAGGATGAAGGTATGATTTATAATGATTTCTTTAACTTCTCACTTTTAAGATTTATAGCGTATTCAAAGGTAGCATACTTAACAATCGAGCGAAACCAAGCATTAAGCGAGCGAGGAGTGCCAGACACGAGACACGCGCGACGGGGAATGACCCTTCCCCTCTAAATACAGCAACCCATTATAAATCATGGCTTGACTGCTTGCAATTCCACAATTGGTCTCGGCTTCGTTTAAACGTGCACCAATTTCAGAACATTTTAGGAGGAGCCACCCCCAATGTGAGCGGGATGTATTCGTATCAGGGAATTAACATAAAAAAATATACTTATTGCACTCTGTATTACACTTGCAATAAAGAATATCATATGGTAAGAAACCCCAGTCTTTTTACCATCGATGATTAAAACTTGATGGAGATCTAATGTTGCATTTCTCACCATGCACTTACCTTTTCATTTAAACGTTTGACGTATTCACTCATGGCTTCTCGTGCTATTTGTAGCTTCATCTCCAATTCTTTCTTCTCGACTTCCAGCTGGGTGGCACGTGCTTCGGCCTCATTGGTTGATCTATAATACACGTGACCAAACCTTCTGTCTCCACACTGGGTTTTCACAATATCACCAATGGTGAGAATTTCTTTTTCGATCCTCCTCAACGTAGCAGAGTCCAGGTTTTCTTGAGTTCCCGAAAGCTCTCGACCAGTCCTTCTGAGTCTTTTCTCCATTTCCTCTATATTGTAAAAAGTTTTGCTCTCGTGGGAAGGTAACTTGGTTTCGAGAGAGGCAGCCTGGAATCAATGAAAAGTGGATAAATTTTGTGACAGTTAGCTTTCACATTACGCTAAAGGCCGACTATCGGAAATACTCATTTACCGTGCTGCTAATAGAAGTCATAGACTGGCCAAATGACGGACTAAAAACACCTCCTTTCAAAAATGTCCTATTCTGCGACTACAAAGTTGAAATGGAAGGGTCTTTATATGGCAATTCTTTCTATTAACTGATTGTAGATGCATATAAGGTGGTTTCAACCTTGTTTGCAATCCTTCAGTGTGATATTTCAACTGAAACCTTTTCAATGAATTGATAGCATTCTTAGGAGTCTTTTTTTGTTCCTCCTATAACATGTGAGTGTTAGTAGCATTTAAGTTTTTCCTTTAGATGGGATATCATTGGCAAAAACACACCAAAACAAAACAAACCAAAGAAGCAAAAACGAAAAATCTCACTTTTTCTTTCTCAGATTTTAGTTTTTCCAGAAGACGAGTAAGCTGATTTTGAAGCTCTGATGTTCTTTCTTTAAGGGATGAATTCTCTGTTACCAACTGTTTGAGTCTTTCAGTTTCACCATTCTTCTCTTGTGACCTTTCTACAGGCTGAAAAAGGAAAAAAAGCGGAAAAACTGATTAGCCACGTATAACGCCACATATCTGTAACGAAAAACCTGATGCATCTAAAACTTTTAGGAACGAGAGTCGAAGCTTTTTACCCAGCTGTTACAAAGTTCTGAGGCCCGCTTTTCCTGCAGGTCATTGATCTTCACTTTCAAGTCTTTGACGACTTGAAGAAGTTGATCCTTCTCCCGCAAAGTAGCTTCGTATTTAGCCTGCGACATAAATGGTTATAAGAAAAACTGGTGAAAAAGAAAAATATATAACAAAAGGTTAAAAAAAAAAAAAAAAAGCAAAACAAGCACAAGAAGGGGGGGGGGGAAAGGGGGGGAAGAAAGGAATTTTTTTAAGAAAGATGGGAAGACAGGGGTTTTTTCCTGCCTGTAAAGTAACCAACAAAAAAAATACTATAAAAACAGAAAAAAACAGAAAGTCGAAGCTTTTTACCCAGGTGTTAAAAAGGTCTGAGGCCCGTTTTTAATGCAGGTCAATTATCTTAACAGTCAAGGCTTTGAAGACTGGAAGAAGTAAATACTTCTCCCGAAAAGTAGGTTGGTATTTAGCATGGGACATAAATAGTTATAAAAAAAACTGGGGAAAAAGAAAAATATATATCAAAAGGTTAAAAAAAAAAAAAAACAGCAACACAAGCACAAGAAGGAGGTGGGGGGAAGGGGGCGTAGCAAAGAATTTTTTTAACGAAGGGAGGGTGTCCAGGGTTCTTAGTAGTTTGTCATGTCGACATTCAGATGAGGACTTTTCCGGTAGGAAGTGAGCGTGTTTAGATGATTCACTGGGCTAGAATGTCCGAACTCGTTCTCTTTTGGCCCATACAAGTACCGCACAAGAAATTAATTGATAAAAAATTTCCAACAAAGGGAACTTTCCAGTAAAAATTTGAATACAGACGGTCGAAAGTGCGTCATTATTCAACCACAGTGAATTTTGGGATTCAGTTTGCGTGAATTTGGTTCATCAAATTTCTAGCGTGTTTGCCGGTTTCACAAAGGAGGTCGAGCGCTCCATGGCCCCCCTTAGATCCTGTGAAGATAAAGACTTAATGGTTTGTTTTTTGGAGCCTTAACATGGCGCATTTTCAAAGTATTTTCACTCAACGCAGATTATATGGATCCTTTTAATTGAATTCGATATCTGATGACAGAATAAAGATCTGTCTCATTGTGCCATCTGAAAGATGTGCCTCCCTGGGCATGAAGAATTCCTAACGCTTTCTCATCAAAATTATTTTTACCTTTTGTAACTACTTGTGCAAACCAGGAATGGTCTCTTGTAAAACTCACCTTATAATAAGAATCTTGTGAACCATTTGTAGACACAGAATCGTCGCGTAGTTTGTCCTAAAATGAAAAAGGCTGTAAGTTATTTGCCTTACACAGTCATGCCGTTTCTGGTAATTACAGCTGCAAAAACGCCGGAAATTGAGAAAAAGTACCTTTTAGGTGCAACTCTTATTATACTTCATTTATTGTTTGAATTGTGTTCAGATGAAGCCTCGCATTTCATTTCATCTATCTTAAAGGCTCCTCTATTCTACCCTCAGAAAAGGCCCTCACTCCGGTCAATCACACTTCAGAATGTCATTTATGCATCCTCCCATCTTACATGGTGCTTACAGCGGATAACATTGAAACGCTTCTCTCCCCTCCCATTTTCTAAAGGGAAAGGGCTTTTCTTTTAGAAATTTGACTCTCGGACGTACACGCAAATTCATACCCCCACCGTGGTATAAGGGGGGGTGTATGGAGCCCCTCTCTTGAGTTTTTGATACGTTGCAGTATTTTGAAACGATTTTACCCTTCGTGGAAAGCTTTTGATCTTCTTAAAAAGATGAGGTTTATTTTAGGGGTGGTTGCGCTGCTGGGGGCCTGTGACGTCACCAACAATGGTGGCCATCTTGGATTCTACCAAGAATTAGAAATCAGGTTAAAAGTGAGAGAAATGGTAATTTTTTGTTTTACATGACAAATAACACATAAATAAGCACTTTGCATGATTTTAGCCACAAGATTTACTTTGATTGTTGAAAAAAGTTGAAGAAACTTATATTTTCACCCAAAATTGTCTTGATCACCACCTGCTACTTATGACGTCATAAGTAACCATAGCAACTGATCATCACGAAACGTGTCTTAAAATGTGCGCGAGGGATGAACGAACAGCTACTGAAAACGTCAGGCACTGATGTTTTATCCTCTAGGAAAAAAACTCAGAAATATTTTATGGGGGGGGGGGGGGGGGCATCAACCCCCCCCCCCCCCCCCCTTNGATCATCACGAAACGTGTCTTAAAATGTGCGCGAGGGATGAACGAACAGCTACTGAAAACGTCAGGCACTGATGTTTTATCCTCTAGGAAAAAAACTCAGAAATATTTTATGGGGGGGGGTGGGGTGGCATCAACCCCCCCCTCCTCCACTTGTATGTCCGAGGGTTAAGTGATATTTATCTTTACCTCCTGTCGACTCGATGAATTCCATTCATCTTGTAAATCATTTTTCTTTCTTTTCTCCTTGCTCTGTTTCTCGGTGTCTGTAATGCTCACGTCATATTCTTTTGCTCTCTTATCAGCTCTTACTGCATGTACCTCCAATCCTTTTAGTCTCCCCTCCATTTCCCTGGTCTCTGTGTGAGCCAATGTTTCTCCGTCGTGACGAGTGTGTAATTTTAACCCTGACCCATCATATTGGATATCTGCTTTTACTTCGCTGGCCTTTTTTTCTGTCATTTTTTTAATCTCCTGAGTTAAATGCTGTATTTTGAGATCTTTTTCTTCGTTCTCTTTTAGAAGCCTTTCCATTTCGGCCTTTGCCTCCTTCTTATATTTTTTACGCAGTTCTATGTTCTCTTCCAAAGCTGCCATCTTCGCTTTCAAACCTTCGTTCTCGCTTTTTAATGTTCTCAATTCGGCTATCAGTTCACGTTCTTCTGAAACTGCCCGGGGACGTGAACTGGCTCCCGACCCTAATTGATAGTTAACTTCAGTCTCAGGCTTTTGTTCAGAGGGCTGGGTTTTTGGGAGCCCTGTCTTCTCGTGGTAATCAAATGTGATGTGATATTGCGACTTTCCAGTGAGATATTCCTTTAGGAAACCATTTGAGGAAGAATCACCAAGACTGTATTGACCGCATGGTTCCCGTTGCTGTTGCGGGGACGGTGATCCCTTATATGGATGACCAAAATCAGTAGACAGTTTGTAGGGTGAAACAAAATCTTTTGCTCCACTTGTTGATTCAAGTGGATGGTCACCAAAAGGCTCTTCATCCAATGTACCGACATCTAGGTTTTGACGCTGTTTTTCGCTATATAATGTTCCGTGCGCGAGACCAATCTCTACACTGCCAGATGGTACCGCCCATTGGCTAACACTGCTCGGTTTGGTTTTTCTATCGTGCTGGCCATGACCACTTGCCCGATAGCCACCTAGGGAATACATCACTGATTCATTCTCAGGCCTGTACAGCTGTTCTCTCTCTGGATAGGACTTTTCATCAGCTTGAAGTTTTTCCCTTGTAATTCTTATTTCTTCTTGCTCTGCCTTGATTTTCTCTTTCTCTTTATCGTTCTCCTCCTTTATTTGTCGTCTTTCGGATTGTAAGGTTTCATCAAGCTTCTGTTTTTCTTTTTCATAACTCTTGTTCAGTTCTAACTTGTGCTCTGATAAGAGTCTCTCAAAATCATCTCTCAGCTTTCCTTCCATCCCTTCGCTTCCTCTTAGCTTCAATTTTTCTTCCATCGATTTAAGTTGCATATTTTCTCGGTTTTTGTCATCTACTTCTCGTCGAAGAGCATCGATGTCATTCCTAAGCCGTTCATTTTCTTTCTTGTTAAAGGAATCTTCGTTGGCATATATCTCTTTCTGTTGCTCCAACTCTTTTTCCTTATCGTGTCTCAGCTGGCTCTCTTCCTTTAGCTTAGCGTCAATTTCTCTTATATTATCCTGCCTTTGTTTTTCCATTCGCATTCTTTCTTCTGCTAAATTTGCCTCAAATTCTGCCTTGAGTTTTTGCAGACTTGTTTCAGCTTCGGTCAACTTAAGGGTGTAGCAATTTTCAAGCTCTAATTTTTCACGGTAAAAACGTGCTTCCAATTCGGATCTTTCTTGGACTGCTTCTTTCTTTTCATGAGCGACTTCTTTCCTGACCATCGCCTGATATTCAGCTTCGAGATTTTCCTTAAACTCAATTTTCTCTTTTGAGAGTTTCTCATCCATATTCTTTTTTTCGATTTCAATATTTTCCCTTAGGTCTTTCAACTGCTCTTTGTAATACACCTCCAGCTGTTGTCTCTCCTCGTTGAACGTATGCGCCAGTTTGGCGACCTCTTTTGCAAACGTATTCTGCATTTCCATTTTCTCTATTGAAACATTATGCTCAAGCTCTATCTTTTCCGCTCGTGTTGTTTCCTCGTACTCTAGCTGTTTACTTCTAAATACTCGCAAACGTTCCTCCATTTTGTTCTTGAAATACATCTCCACAGCAATTCTCTCTCTTTCAAAAATATGCATCAACTCCTCCTTTAAGGCCTCGTCGTCATTTTCGCTCAGATCTAGTTGAAACTCCTCGTATGTTTGGGAAGAATGTCCTGCTACATTATTGTAACCCACAGAAGAGACAAGTGCAGATTCGGGGTAGCTTTCAGACCCATTGCTTCCTTGGCTCAAGTTGTCATTCTCTAGGAAACCATTGTCTTTGTCACCAGACATAACATCAACCTCTTCAAAGTCCTGTTCCTCAAATTCATTCATATCACTTGCAATATTTGATTGTTCGCACTTGGTGACATTGGTAATCTCCTGTTCTATTGTTTTGAGCGAATGCCCTGAGTTGTCCTTGTTTTGATTTTCTTCAATTCTAATGTAATCATTTTTACAGATAGATGTTCTATCGTTGCTATTATTGACAGACATAAAAGTGGAGTAGCTAGTCAGCTCATGTCCAGTGGATATGTGTTCCTGTTCTGCAAAACCGCTGTCTTTACTACCCTGTAAGTCACCTTCAATAATACCCCCTTGTTTGCAGGTTCCTCTTCTAAGATTGCTCCTATCTTCAGTTCTTGATGAGGGATTCATCATTTTTCTGCCATATTTTCTCTGATGACTGCTCGATTTAGTTGTGACCTTGCTTCTTCTATTTGAAATCATAATGTACAGCTGCTAAAACATATCAGGATGAAGTAAACTAGTCTCCTTAAACGAACGGGTTTTGTCCTGCTGTGTGGATAGTCAAGGCTGGAAAACACAAAGCCAACTGAAATGCATAAGCACTCGGAGATTGAATACAGAGTAGGCTAAGATTCAGAATGGTAATGTTAGATTAATTAGTTAGATTGAGGTTATGCCACCAGCAGTGTTCGAACAAGTGGGAGGGAAATGGTATTGAGATTTATTCAGATTAACACATGTGAACCCAGCAAATAAATGTCAAATCAGACGAAGTGTTATTTTTTTTCGTAATAAATATTTTACGCTTATTTACCAAAATCAAAGTCAAATATGAAGATAAGGTAGAAAGACAGCTTTTGCAATAACACTGCCCTTTTTTGAAGCGGGGCACCACGATTTTCAGTTAGGGTACTGCGGCCAGGTGAGGATAAAGCTGATTAGCCAGGATAAAGAAAATAATAATTAATGTTTTATTAGTATTATAAAAATATAATGAGTATTAACCAAGTTGCATTTAATAGCAATTTCCACTATGGTGTGCTTCTAAATCTCGGAAAATATAGTCGGTTCAAAATGACGAAAACATAATTTTGAATAAACATATATTGCAATTCCCAGCCAGGTAAAAAATAGGAACAGAGAACATTTTCGCATAAAACAATAATTTTTTTTTTTGGCGCACAATACCACATTTCTCAGTTGGAAATATGCGGTCAAGATAGACTAAAATCGATTAGTCTGGAAAAAGAAAATACTTTTTATTTTTTACTTTTTTCCCTACAAGAGTCAATAGAAAACAAGTAACCTTAATAGCGGAGCTCTCGCGCGGGAATCGCGCGTAGCGGAGCACCATGGGCAAGAAAATTGAGTTATATATGCATCCAATAAGTTTTGGTTCTAAAGCCTGGTTTTCACTAGCGCATAAGAATAAGCATAAGGACATACGCAAGCGTAGAATGGCATATTTGACTCAATTCTCGATTCCAGCTCTCCTAAACCCAATGATAAACAAGATGGCGGACGAAGCGTCCGCCATATTGCTTTTCATACGTTCGCATGAGGCCTTGGTCAAAGCAAGAGAGAATGAGCTAAGAGAGCGAACCCCTGTGCCCCATGATAATTTTTTTAAAATTATCTAAAGTTCGCGCGCGTGCTGCGAAGGTTTTTTTTGTCTGTTGTTTCCGTGACCCGCGCGGTCTACTTCCACGTAAACGTGACATGCTTCGCCGCCAAACATTTGAAGTTTGACAGCCATTATAGTAATTATTAGTGCCAGGAGCCAATACCCATGGGCTCCTGTTGTTGACATGTCTTTGGTCAGCGCTTTCCCCTGATAATTCGGGAATGAATTTCATTTACAAAGGAATTGCAGTATTGGAGTCAAAATTTCACTTTGAGATTAAAGATTGAGATTTTCTAACGGCTAGTAGCCTCGTTTAAAGTAACGAATATTGAATTCTGACACACTGTGAAAACCAGAGGTAAACGTTATCACGCGCGAAACACGAAACCTTTAATAAGTGGCTGGCTTCAATTGTTTATGCAAATGTACAAGATATTTTTTCTCTTTTTCCAGGAACATTTTTCGTTCAGAAACAGTACCTTTTAAGAATTATTCTTGAGAGTTTCAAACTGCATTACTTCTTCCTAACGTCTAATACTTGCGATAAATATTTCGCTGTGCAAACACAAATCAGGTCAGATGCTTCAAGCTGTTTTTATAATACGTAAACAGTCGCTAACCTGGATGCCAGAGAGTTTTGATGCGCGGTTTCCGGTTGCGGTCAATTCTTTATACTGAGCGGTGTGCCCACATTTGTCTAGCGTCCTCACAAAATTCAAATGTTTGGCGGCTAAACGTTCATGTTTGAACCCACTTTGAACCCATTTTCTCGTTTAGTGTCCACGGTTGGATGGAAACGACGGTATCACAGCTCGCGGGTGTGCGTGGATGTCGCCGGAAGAGACAGTTGTGGTTTTTTGCAGTAGGATGTTGTTTGTTTATATATTGATGTAGCGAAGACCTCAATAAGCAGTTTTCGCCGAATCGGAACCACTTTCTTCGGCAAACTCCCACAAGTCAGGACCGTTTTGATCTTCGTCAGCTACTCTGGCCTGATTATTCCACGTATAAATCCTTTGACTCGTCGACGAAAGTAATATCAAGTTTGCACGTCATATCCCTTGCTGTACGTGATCGGCAGTGAAATCAATTACCCGCCAAGTTTAAAATCACATGACGCTACTCTAGCCGACCAATAAGGTGGCGTCCTTAAAATAACCACGCAGTATGACACAGAACCAAGATTTAGATTGAAAATAATTTTCATGGAAAGAGGGTCATGTATGGGGGATTCGCTGTCTTAGATCATTCTCTCTTGGTCAAAGTGATCTATGATTAATGCACGGCCTTGTGCTCGTGCTTGAGCTTATGTCGACCCCATTTTCACTAATCAAAGCTACGACATAAGCATAAGCACAAGCACAAGAAAAACGAACTTGTCCGTTTTTCTTGTGCTTATGCTTATGTCGACCCAGTTTTGACTTGCTTGCACATGTGCTTGTGCTTATGCGCTGGTGAAAACCAGACTTAAGAAAATCGTCCGTCCGGCCGCAGGTACGTGTACCCTTCATGTAAGCTGGGGTGAAATTTTGCATTTCAAGCACCCTCGCCTTTCGACAGTAAATTGCATAGCCACCCGGACTTTTAGAGATAAACAACAACAACAACAACAACAAAGACGATTCTTTCTTTCGACTTAATTTTAATGTCTTCATTGACGTGGAAAACAGAGAAAGAGCTAGAAAAAGAGATAAAAAACAAAAGAGATCAATTTTGTTGGAAGAAAAACATGAAAACTTTATAGCAGTGGTGAGAAAATGAGAAATACCAAGGTGAAAATGGGCGGCAGCGAAAAAAAAAGTGGACAGGAGCACATACAACATTTCCCCCATAAAACGTGTAATTAGGAAGTTTCTAGAAATTTCTGGTTATAGTCGTGCAAAACAATAGCAAAGAAATGTACATAAAAAGTGTGCTGCAGGTGCAAATTTGTTTCTTTGCTAATTACTGATTTTTTTGGCTGTTTTTGTTGCCGTCGCCGCTTTGCATTACACGATTTTATATTTTGTTTGAGTACCTGTAGACATTAACGAGAGCTTCACTTTTAGCCCTGGCTAAATCTATATAATATATATAATTACCGTTGCGGGTTTGATAGGTAACATTGTAACGTCATGTGAATTTGATTGAGGATATACAGTACAGAGGCACCAAATGCAACGACCGAATGGTTCCAATTAAGTCAGGAGTATCTTATGGGAATTTTGGTCGTCTCGAAAGTTTTTGGAGGCTTTTTCGTCTCACCTGAAACTGTTAGCTACCATGATGGGTCGACTGATCGAAAAATAGAGGACATGGAGTAGTCGTACTTTATATGGAAATTCTCAGGAGACCTTTCTAATAATGATTACAATATGTTGGTAAAAAAAAATGTGAAAATCGTTGTAAACTCCGAATACCTTATACGAATAGGACTGGCAGTTGTCCAGAATTTTTAGCCTTTCTTGAGCTCAACAAATTTCTAGACAATATTGCTCCTTCGAACAGTTGTTTTACAGAAAAAGTCGTTGGGCGCCCGTAACAGTAGCCTGCGAGGAAGCTCATTGCGAAAAGTCGCGCGCGAGTGGGACACAAAAGAAGATGTGCAAGTGAAGAACAGCCAGCCTTGCTGCGCAACAGTCGCACTCGAAATGGAGTCGAGCTTGCTCGCAGGCTAAACATACAGGTTCGAATTCTCCTGAAAGTTGAAACTGTTCATATGCAC